GAACTCCAGTGATGATCTGGGGAGACAACATTCATTTGGGTAAATTCTTAAGGATACAGCTTACATGAAGCTGCCCTGTAGTTCAGTGGTAAAGAATCCACCTGCAATGCTGGGGATGTGGCAGGAGCCGTGAGTTCGATGCTGGATGGGGAAGATCCTCTGGAGAAGGAAGTTGTAACCCACTCCAGTATTCTTGCCTGGATAATCCCATGAATAGAGGAGCCTGGCGGGCTACAGTCCATGGGGTCAAAAAAGAGTTGGACACAACTGAGCGACTAAACAACAAGGAGAAGTTTGTAGTCAATGAGGATAATACTTATTAGGTGGTGTCCTTACTCCAGATGAACTGCCATGGAGGATTGGATAGATTCTGACAATCACTCCAAACCTTGTGTGTTGTGTTGTAACTACTTTTTGAAATAAAGTGATTCTGGGATTAGTTGGGGACATTTTTAGTTAGGTAAGTTTCAACTGATGGTGACAATGTATTTTTTGTTTTGCTTTGAACTATTGGATTTCTTGGCAGCCCGTAAAACTCTATTGTGTTTCTGTTACGTATCCAGGGATACACTGACTCTTTCTTGTAGAGCTGGGAAACATGAACATAAGAATTTTTTTCTGGGAAAGAAGGAGGGGGAAGAAGGGTAAAACCCTAGTCTCTACTATGTTAGCACAACTTTGGGTAGTTTTACCAATTCAGCAAAGTATTTATTCAGTGATGTCAGAGATTTCAGTTCTTACTCTCTCATTTCATTTATGTTCAAAACAGAGTTCATTCAGTAGCTTGTGATTTTATAAATGCCAATCATTACATTAATAAATAAATCAAAGACTATCAACGCCTGTTCATATATGAGCCTGAAGTCTTCTGTAACACTTCTTACTTAAAGCTAATTGTTAGAGCTTCCCTGTTTCTCCAGAAAAAAGACAACAAATTCTTAAATAATTGATATGTGTATTTTGCAAAACTGTGATTCATATTAAGTTTATGCTTACTTTATGCATTTAAGAATCTGGTTTAAATACATATTACCATTCCTATTTCTTACGTAATTAATAGTGTTTATGGTTAAACTATGATTCAATCATTTGCCTGACACTACAATTGTGATTCACAAGTGCCATTTTTTTAGGAATATAGATAACTTGGTCCAGGAAAAATTTGAGTGGTAATGTATTCATATAATCAAATATTAAAAATATATATAAATAGGAGATTCCTTTGAACTGCATTCTTAATGAATTGCTATTAAATATATTGATATAAAGATCAAAATGTGTAAAACCCATTTACTTTTTATTTAATTTTATTCAGGTAACTACTGTGTGTAGTTCTGGCTTCAAAAACTTTTCTTATTTTTTCTGTGATAAGTGATGACTAAAGTCATAATTCACAACCTCATTTTAATCCGAAATTTGACTGAATAGCATAGTGACAGTAATTTAAGTAGGCCCTGGATCAAGCCTAGAAAAGCTAGGAATAAATGAATCTTTTATTTTTGGCGTGTTTTACTTTTTTTTTTTTTTTGGTGTAATTTACTCAAACAGGGAGTTCCTGTCTCCCAAGGTTCAGGTGTCACTCTTTTGCCCTGAGGTTGAAACATGAGTGTTTGTACCCATGTTTGCCCCCTGCGTCCTAGTTCCCATCTGGTTTGTTTCCCTCTGAAAAACCCATTTTCTCTATGCCTGGACTCGGGCATCTAGTCTGTTGGTTGTGTGGCTGGGCCCCATCTGTGTATTTCAGACTCTTCCCTTATGGGAACAGCCTCCACACTCCTCCCATTCCATAACCTTGGCTGATGTGTCCTGTCAGTAACATTTAATCATGAGACTGTTATCCCTGTCTATGGGAAAACATTTAAAGCCTTCTCAAACATGACTTCCCTGGTAGCTTACTTGGTAAAGAATCCACCTGCAATGTGGGAGACCCCGGTTCGATTCCTGGGTTGGGACGATCCACTGGATAAGGGATAGGCTACCCACTCCAGTATTCTTGGGCTTCCCTGGTGGGTCATCAGGTAAAGAATCCACCTGCAATGCGGGAGACCTGGGCTGGAAATATCTCCTGGAGAAGGGAATGGCTATCCACTCCAGTATTCTGGCCTAGAGAATTCCATGAACTATTGCATGGGGTCACAAAGAGTCAGACACAACTGAGCAACTTTCACTTTTTCAAACATAACATCTATTGTAATATAAAGAAATAGTTAATGCTGTAGTTTGTATTCATTTATATTCATTAATGAGTTTAATATAATTTCATTGTCTGCATAGAACAGAAGTGGTGGTGGGGAGAGGAAAAGCCATGTTTAGAAAACTATGATTTATTTTTCTGTTGTGCATGACACCTACTGCAGTGACTTTTGGGATAGCAGAAGTTACCTTTGGAATTGGGGGTGTCTTATTTACCTTGGTATTTCCTGTCCCCAACAGAGTATCTGACATAGCAGGTGCTCAGTAAGTCTTTACAAAGTAGAATCAAGTTAAGCATGGAAGTATTTCTTCTTTCCTCTTTACATGGTCTTTTTGGTTCTTAGCCTGACAAAGCCACATAATTCTGCTCCTTGTGGCTGTAAGTGAACGGAGATGAATAGATTTCAGAGTGTCTCTGCTGTTAGCTTCAGAGCTCAAGCTCCCTGGTGCTCGCCTCATGACGCATTTAGTCAGGAGACACGACCAGCTGGTGGACACTGAAGAGAAGCGTGTCTGATGAGACTTGAATAAATAACTGTCTAGTGAGTAAAAGTTTGTTAGATGGATACATCTTTATTTGACATATTCAAGTTAATTTTTAAAAAGTCACACTGTGTGGCACGTGTCAACCTGAGTCATCTCTGTAAAAGACAATAAAAATCAGTTTATTGTTCTGTAATTGCATGTGTTGAGTAATGCCTTTTAAAGTCACTGAGCCACTTAGTCACATTTCTTCAGGTGCGTTTTGTGGCGAGTGACTGCATTAAATGAAGTGTAGCCAGGGTGATGAAGGGGATTTATCTTGCAGATATCCTGCATCATGGATAAAATATATAACTTCTCGATTTAGGAATTTTTGCTTATCTATTCTTTGCTGGGAAACTGTTATTTTCCAAATTTTATCTGTTTCACATTTTCAATTATTGGGTAAAAAAGCATTCATAGTGAAACATACATCATTTTTGCAACGATTTCACACATTTGTATAAACATCTCACTTCTCTGAGCTTCTACAGCATATATCTTTTTATCTGTTTATTTGGCATCTGTTTATATGCCCCTTAATAAATTTATGTTTAAATTTCTTTGTATATTTTGTCTCCCATGATGTTAAAAAAAACACAATTTCTATGCAGACTATTAAATGTTTTTTTTCTGAAGAGATAGAATTTTTTTTTAAATTTTTAAACTTTTTATACGATTTAAAGGTTACTTTCCATGTACAGTTATTACACAATATAGGCTATATTCCCCATGTTGTACAATACATCCTTGACCCTGTCTTACACCCAGTAGTTTGTACCTCCCTCTCTTACACTCCTCTGGTTCCCTGCCCCTCCGCCCCGCCACCGGTAACCACTGGTTTCTTCTCTGTATCTGTGAGTCTGCTGCTTTTTTTGTTGTCTTCACTAGTTAGTTGTGCTTTTCAGAGTCCACATGTAGGTGATACTATACCACTTTTGTCCTTCTCTGTCTGACTTATTTCACTGAGCGTAACGCCATCCAAGTCCATCCATGTATTATGCACTATTACATACCATAATCTGCTTATTAAGTCAGGTCTGAATGGTGGTGGGTATAGATACACTGTACCTCTCTGTTTGGAACCCCAGGAATGAACCTCGTTGATCCTTGCCATGAACCTGCATCACCTCCCCTGTGAAGAAATAGCATCTTGGTTTTGGAAGGAGAGAAGGGCAGAGGATCCCAAAAGAGAAGGGAGTGTTGCCAAGGCAAACTCTAACTTGAGTTTTATTTTAACAGTTAGTCTTTATTATTCAGTGGCCAAATAGGATCGATTTGCCAGCAGGAAAGAGAGATATCAGCGTGCATGGTGTCAGCTAACGTATATTTTGAAATATCAGATTTATTTTTGGTCAGTAGTTTGTGTCATAGATAAACGGCACCCGTTTTGAATTCAAAAGAATTAATAATAACTTACAGGAGTCTTAAGATTTTACAGGGAGCATTTTCTTAGCATTTCATTCACTGACTAGCACATAGTAAGAGGAACAGGGCTCTGTAAATATTTGTTGAATGGGTAAATGTGTGAATGTTTCCTTTTTAATGCATTTTCTCTGCTATATGGGGAGTGGTAGAAATGTTTGAGGAATGCTTAGTAAATCTGTTCAATAGATGCAGTTTGTATTTGAAGTTTAATCATGAACAAGTAGAATCTTGATTTTTATGTGTATGTGTAGAGATAGATAAATGTTGTCCATAACCTTCTCGATAGATAAATGTTGTCCATAACCTTCTCGATTCTGCATTCTCTGAGTTGATTCTGCGTTCTCTGAGAACATTCTTTTCTGTTTTCTCCATAGTGCCTGCATAGTTACTTGTGTAACCATACACTCCCTCAGTTCTAAGATCCTCATCTTTTTAACCTTTAAATGTCATTGGGGCATACATGAACCTCAAATCTGTTTTCTTATTTAGGCTGTCTCTTGCCACAAAGTTGCATTTGTGCTGGCTGACAAATAGTAGTAGACTAATTTGCTCATTGATGTATAATTTGAAAATTGTAGCCCATTGGATTCAGTACTTACCAAGTTAATCTTAAGCACTAAACCCACCTATTTAAGCATTGAATTGAGTATGATTTAAGGCTCATTGAATGCCCTTAAACTTAATTTTGTGATTTTTGGTAAATAGGTCAGTGTTTAGTAATTGTGAACTTGAAAAATGAAGGAACGTCATAGTACTTTTGGCTAAATGGTGTGAAATAGAGTATAATATGATTTTTAAATGTCTTCTTAGAGTTCTTGATTCCAGTTGTAACTTGGTGTCTCCTGCTCCTTCCCCAGCTTCCTGCAGATTTCACAAAGCTACACCTCACTGACAGTCTCCACCCACAGGTGACCCACGTCTCCTCCAGCCACTCAGGATGTAGCATTACTAGTGATTCTGGAAGCAGCAGTCTTTCTGATATCTACCAGGTAGGAAGGTATTTCCTTATCATTTGCTTCATTTTCATGTATTCTAAGGAGTTCTGTGATTCTTCATTGATAGAATCTATAAGGTAAAGATATGTGTTTATATTATATGTGTACAAGTGGACATAAATGTTAATGTTCATGCTTCACACAGACATACAGTATGTTGTACGTTTGTTTTAAGAAGTCAGATTACAATCTGATTGTATTTGCCTCTACTAGGACCTATTACCAAAATTTTAAATAGAGTGGTCTCAATGGAAATGTTTCCCTTGACTAAAATATTAGTAAATATTTTACTAATTTGACTATAGGCATACTAGGTTTATGCTTCCTTCTTGACTAAAATTGTAGGGGGATACATCATTATTATGCTTCCATACTAAGTTTTTCTTAATAAAGCCTTGGGTATGACAAAAGGAAGAGATTATTAAGATTGGATCACTGAATTATTTTTCTTATGTTATTTTTATTAAATGTAGATTTGGTTTTTTGTTTAAAATGAATTCTTATGATACTGATGGATAGGAAAGAAACTAGAACTATGGAATTTCAAAAACATTTTCTAAGCAAAACAATTTTAATTTTCAAGGAAGAATTCATTTGCTTAGAAAATGCAAATTTAGGAAAAGTGACTAAAGTAGGCAAAAAAAAAAAGGTCCTTTTTTTGGTAGTCTCTCAGTACATACAGCTAATATGAAATTTTGGATGGTTTCAGACAAAAGAACATAATACGTACTTAACTTACAAAGTATAATTTTTGTCTCCTTAGGAATTGTGATGTGAGATGGTCATAAAAGAACTTTTCTTGGAAACGTTATAGTTAATGTATTCAAACAGTGCTCAGTTTCTATTTAAAAAAAAAACTAAAAGTAACTAAACAGAATACTGTCAGGGCAAAACATTTCTTTTTAAGTCTTAAATTTAGTAGATCTTAGAAAATTAATTTTCTTTTCAGGACACACTAGGTACCCACTTTTCTATAATTCAGAAGTGTTGTGGAGAGCTCATGGACTAGTGAGTGAAAGCCACAAATGCAGTTATTTGCAGATTCTTGGCTGATTATGAACTTTTAAAAAAAATTTTACATTAAGAAATGTAATTATCTGACTCCTTAACTTTTCAAACTTCTACTTTGATGCATTATATGTTAACTTGTAATTAAATCTTTCAGAAGGAATTTCATTTTCATTCCTCCCTTCCCCCCATAATACCTATTTTTAGAAGTTGATTTTTTTTTTTTAATGTTTATTCAAGAGTATCCCTTACAATAGAACAATGACCAGTGTAAGTAAAAGTCTTGCTTTGGCTTGTGTTAATTAAAACATCATGATAGAGCCTTCGCCTTCTACACTTTGAGATGATCGTACACTTTGAAGATCTGTAGTAAGAACACAGGTTGAGATCATAGAAGTTGCTCCTGTTTTCTTCAGGTATAGTATCAGCCTGAACAGAGCGTCTAGAAGGTTAATTTATAATTAAGAATGAAGTGAGTTGTCTATATACTTTATGCAGGCATGTTCTGAGGGCAACTTCAGCTTTACGTGTTATTACCTTGGGTAGATTGGGAAAAGGTGTGAAGAGATTCTTGATGGTACTTCTGCTGCCTCCCCCACCCCCCATCCCCCCATTCAGGATGTCTGAAGATCCAGACCACGGTGAGAACTCCACCTTACTCTGAGGGGGTTGGTGTTTACAGCTTGCAGTTTGACTTTATTTGGGGATATAGCTGGAAAAGAAGACTCCTGTGTATTTTTCTTTATTTTTGTTGAGTTTCAAGGCCATTCATTTCAAACTTGATGACAGGCATATATCCTACATAAGGAGAAATCCATGGATGTATCCAAGGATTTGGTTGCTGATTATGTAAGACTAACATTAACTGAAGATCCCCAGGAGACCATTTCTGTTGTCTTTAAGTCAGAAATTCTTAAGGTGAGAAGAAACCTGGCAGATGCACCTGGTTCAATGACCAGTCTTATGTTTGAATCCCCTACTCCCTTCCTGTCGATCAAGCATCCGTTTGATTCTTGAACAGTTCAGTGGTGGACAACCAGCTCCCATTGCAACCCCTTTCACCTTTGTACAGTTCTGACTTGGGAGAAAGCTGTCATGTTGGAGTGGTCTAAATGCTCATGAGGTGGATACAAAGAGGTTGGAATGAAATGCTGTGTGCAGGAGAGAAAAGGGTAGAATAATTTTTCCAAGAGGGTTGGAGGGGAGGAATTCCAGAGCAAGGTGGAGTCACTAGCTTTAAGAAAAGAAATGTTCTCTGTTTTAACAGGGGCTGATGAAGGTGGATTTGGAGTGGGGAGTTTGTGTCTGCTGTACCTGGATTCCCCTTGTTCAGAGTGAGGGTTGGCAGATAGAGAGTTTCACGGAAAGACACATTTTGAAGTGATAGTTTCAGAGAGCAGGGGAGCAAATTGACCAGAGTATTGGAAGCTCAATTGAGTTGGTGAACTCAAATGCAGAGTGATTTCCCTCTGCCCTGATAAGTAATTTTCTTCACAGCAAGCATGAAGAAAGCAAAGATTTGGCTTCCCAGGGATTGACGCCTTATTAAATAAGTGTAGCAGAAAGACGGATGGAGCCGCACGTCCAGCTCTTTCTAATGCAGGGCTTTGATTTTGTAGTCCTTCTGTTCAGGATGTTTTCTCCTAGTTTGATCCTTTTCAGCCTTCATTTTTGAGGACCATTTTCTTAGAGAATTCTTTCCTTATTACCCTCTGAAAAGTAGATCCTACATTTTGATTCCTTTCCTGGCTGGTCTTTTTTTTTTTTTTTTTAAGCTTTAATGGAAACAGTTATTACTTTCTAACTTCTTATGTCTGTCCCCCCAGAAGAAGGCAGGAACATCTCTATCTTTTCTCCACCTTCTCTCTAGAGCCTGGAATAGCACCAGGAAACCATAGGTGTTCAGGAAAGATGTGTTGGATGAATGGGATTATAGTATTAGACTAGGGAATGAAAGCTGGAGGATGAGAGCATGAAGGAGGTAGAGTCTGGAAGACTGAGGATCATACGTGTTTGGACAGATAGCTGCCTCAGAAGGGAACGGAAGCAGTTGGAAGAGTAGGAGGTTATGGGTGATAGAAAGCAGAATGCCGAAGTTGCTAACACGAGACAGTACAATTTCCAGCCATGGTAAGGTCCTGGTTAAATGGTGTGATTATCAGAACAGTGACTTAAGTGGATTGGAAATAAGTGTATGAAAATAGATCAGTGGAACAGAGAGTTCAAGCAAAATGAAATTCATGTGTAAGGAAGTGATATGTAATGGAGGAAACCTCACAAATAATGAAGTGATGGGTTATTAAAAAATGGTCTTGGGGGGCCCACATTAAAACCTTACTTTATATCACAATTAAGATTAAATTCCAGATAAACTAAAAAATTAGCAAACTCTTAATGGTATAGTGAATGATCAAAGTTTTTAATAATTAAAAGATCAATTGAGACAAAGATATAAAGTCAGGCTATTAACTCACTTATGCAAATTAATAAGAAAAATACTTTATAACAGTATTCAAAGGCAGGAGTAGTAATTTGCACAAGAACATGCAAATGTCCATACCTTAAATAAATATTTAAGACATAAGTAATTGAGTATATAAAGATTTAAACATGAAGCTATTTTTTCCTATCAAATTAGCACAGATTTTCTTACTTATAACAAATATTTATAGGCATTTTTACACTTGTTAGGATTGTAGGTCTTGAAAAGAAACCTAACAATTTCCGTTAAGAGATTGAAAGAATTGCTCTTTTAGGTACGTCCTATAGAAAAGGATTCCTAGTATAAAATTAGGAACAGCATAAATTATGATGAACAAACTGGACTTAATGCAAATATTATACTTATTTACAAATACATTTTCATATTTTCTGCATATATATATGGTTTTGTCTGCAGTGCCTACTTACTTTGTTATCTCAGTTAAATTTAGCATCAACATAACTTTCTAGCCTAACTTTATATCAGGATCTGACTTTGGGTTAAATATGTATGTTTGAAATTCTCACAAAATTTATTTCCATCAAAATTACTTATTAAGCAGCCCTCATAAACAAGGATATGTGTGAATGCTGGATATTTAATAAGCAAAAACTTGTTTTGTAAATGATTTTTAAGTACTTAATGATAGCAGTATAGTAGTTATATTGTTTTGGTTTTAAATTAACTCTTCACTAGATCTTTATGACATTTAATATTTCCTCAGTTTTTTCATTTTCTTGATATCCTTAAAAATGCTGAAGAAACTAGTTTTAAGAACTGAATTCATAATAACAAGTGCATGTTTGATTTGACAAATCAAAGCTTTCAACATTGATCTGAGAATATTACTGTTTTTTGAGACTGTTACTATTTAACTGTAATGAAAGTCGCTCAGTTGTGTCCGACTCTTTGCAACCCCATGGACTATACAGTCCATGGAATTCTCCAGGCCAGAATACTGGAGTGGGTAGCCATTCCCTTCTCCAGGGGACCTTCCCAGTTCAGGGACTGAACCCAGGTCTCCTTCATTGCAGGCGGATTCTTTACCAGCTGAGCCACAAGGGAAGCCCCTGTAATGTGCACCTAAATCTGTGTTTTACATTTGGAAGATAAATTAATTTAGGACAGGAATTATTTGATTAAGTGACTTTATTCTTGCTCCTGAGACCAATATAGTCAGATACCTTTTATTTCTTTCTTATTTAAATATGCATGTGTGCTAATCACTTCAGTCACGTCCAACTCTGCAACCCATGGACTGCAGCCTTCCAGACTCCTCTGTCCGTGGGGTTCTCCAGGCAAGAATACTGGAGTGTGTTGCCATGCGCTCCTCCAGGGAATCTTCCCGACTCAGTGATTGATCCTACATCTCTATGTCTCCTGCATTGGCAGGAGGGTTCTTTATCACTAGTGCCACCTGGGAAATCTGTTACAAGTGTATATAGCAGAGCAGTTCACCTATATATGTATAATCGTTTACAATTTTCCATTGTAGGTTATTACAAAATACTGAATATAGTTCTCTGTGCTATACAGTAGGTCTTTGCTGTTTATCTACCTTATATATAGTAGTGTGTATATGTTAATCCTAAATTATTCAGATATCCTTTAAATATAAAGTGTATACATATCTTTATTTAGAATGAAAGGGTTTAAAGACTAGCATAAATCTCAGTAGTACTGTAGTTTGGAGGAAGATAGAAAGTAGCAGGTGTTTTGTTATGTTTACATACAAGTATTTGTATGTAAAATTTTTTTAAACATTTTCTGTTTTATGACCAAGCAAAGCAGAACACATTTTATTGCTTTGTTATATTTTAACTCTTTTCTTTATGAAGACAGTCTATTTAGGAAACTGGGCAAGGTATTAAAGTACAAAGTAGTAGTTTGTGTTGGTTGAACCTGATTTTGATTACTGGCACAATTACCAGGTTTTGTTTTGAACAGTTTATTTAGTTTCCCTTCATGTTTTCTCATCTGAAAAACAGAGGTAATAATCCTGACTTGCTGAATTGTTACGAGGATTAACTATTATGTACTAAAAGCATCAGATGTAGTGCTACATACATGGTAGTCGTTCAGTATGGGACCACTGGTTTTATAATCACTGTGTGAGTCATTTAGTCAGAACCTAAGGGGTGCCATTAGCCTGAGAGAGATTTTTACAGTATGTCAGGGGCTGGAATATTTAACAAAGTTTTTTTTCTTTTTTTTGGACAAATTCTGCCAGTGTAAATTTTATTCAAGGCGCATTGCTAGGGTGGGGCCAGGTAGAGGGATGCCGGCACAGAGGTGGAAACTTGTCCCCTTGACGTAGGGCCTTTTGATGTGGCTGTAACTGGCTCTCTTTTCTGTTGTTGGATCCAAGAACAGTCCTGTGAGGGGCGAGACTCAGCTCCAGCTTACTGATGACAAAACTGGGTCTGGAGATGGTCAGGGGCTGTTTTGCAGTCACGTGATGAATGCTGGAGCCGAGATTTGAACTGGTGACCTCTGGTTTGTCTGCTCATTCAGCTGAAATTCAAAATCCAGTGACTCCTCAGTTCCGGGCCCTCAAGTTTAGCCCTCTCATCCTGTTGGCCAGTCAGCATTCACTAAACGTATAACTCAGCTCAGTCTCCAAGTGACTCATTGTTCGGGAAGCTAATAGATTCCTAAAAATCTGTTCGAGTTCTATTTAAGATGTATTGCTAAAAGGAATTTTGTAGTATTTTAATATAAAAGGGATATATATTTTAGTTTGAAAGGGATATTTATTTTAAATAAAAATAATCTTCTAAGTACTGGTTTCATGAATGTTATTTTATGAATAGTTTCTTAAAGAATGGAATACACATAGCAGAACTAGATAACAACTAATGATTGTTTACACAGATGGGGTGGGGGTTCAGTTTTGCAGAGATTAATCCAACTCACATTGGAAAATCTGTTTTATTTAAGACTTAAATAAAATTCATTTAAATGATAGTAATGACTTCTTTGGGATTGTGTAAAATATACCTTTCATCCCCTACCATATGTTAAATATTCAAAAATTTAAAAAAGCCTTCAGTTGTATAATTATATTGCTTAAAAATGTTTTGTTCTTATTTCTATCTTCAGTGCTACCTCTTCACTCCAGGCTGATATTAAAGAATGTGGGTATAGAGGACTGTATATTTGAAAATATGAGGTGATGACTAATAATCACCAATGTTAAGATGAAGCTAGGATGAAATGTGATCATAGCAAGCATTAGCAAATTGTCACATTTCTAGGCTTTAGGAATAAGGTGATGATAACAACAATATTGGCCTAGTTTCTTTGCTCACAGCCTTGGCATGCCATATCACACTTGGTTCTGCTTCAGTTTCATTCTAGAATCTAGAGACAATTTAAATCAGAAATATGAGCAGATACAAATTACTATACATAAAATAGATAAACAACAAGGTCCTATTCTGCAGCACTAGGAACTGTATTTCAATATCCTGTGATAAAACATCATTCAAAGAATATGAGAAAGAATATGTATATGTGTATGTGTGTGTATGTGTGTGTATATATGAATAAATTATATGACATATATATAAATGATTTATATATGTTATATGTGTTATATATTGTTAAATATATAACATACATATAATTGAACCCCTTTGCTGAACACTTGAAACTAACTCAACATTGTAAGTCAACTAGAATTCCATTTTTTAAAAAATCATAAATTAGAGGTGTACTGCTGAGCACTCCACAATTAATTCTCTGGCCTTGGTGGCAAGGCCTTCTGGCTCTTCCACCCGGAGGAGCATCTCTGCTCACGTGCTCCAGCACGAGCAGCAGGATTCACTGCTCTTTCAGAGGCCACTGCTCAGACCTTTTGTAGGGGTTGGGTTTTCCGCTTTCATTTATTCTGTCTTCATTAGGTATTCTGTCTTCAATTATTTTCCCCCTATGTTTTTCTTATAATGTATGTATATTAGTTCAGGAAATTGTTTCTTCATTAGTTCAGGAAATTGTACCTAAAGACTGAAATTATTTTTGTTAAAGCTTAGAAAATATTAACACATGCTTGTGTTGCTTCAAAATATAGAATTAAGTAGTATGCTCTATAATATAAACTAAGACTTTAGAAAGGGGAAACTTTGGTGATAAGAAAATAATACAATTTATTCTTTAAATATTGACTTTAGCTAAATGATAGAAAAAAATATATATAAATCCTTCTATAAGCTGCATTCATGTATTAAGTATCTCTTATAAAGAAACAGATTAGGTTGTAGTTGTAACTCAGGAGCCAGAGTTCTTGGTTCTGTTCTTGATTCCACAGTTACCAGCAAGAGTCTTGGAAAAATAATTTCTTTTTACCTGAATGTTTGGAGAATAATAAATATTGATGATGGCATTTACTTCGTAGGATTGTTTGACGCATTAAATGAGTTAATACATGTGAAGCGCATGGAGCAGTTCCTGGCATATTGTATTTGGTGTTGAGTTTTTATTTATTGGGTTCAACATTTTATATTTTCTTCTTTTGTTTATATATTTTAATCTGTATTTGCTTATTCTTAAAAATAAAATGTCTTATTGTCTTTGAAAGTCATATAGGCTGTGAGTTACCTGAAGCTGGTAGACTTTATATTCTCTACAAAGTTAATAGTTTTATAATAAAGTGTTTCTAAGAGCTTATTATATTTTCTGGAAAGCCATGTTATGATGCTCAAGATTGATAGAGTTAATATTTAATTGTACTCATTCTTACTATTCTTAAGCAATTAGTGAAATCTGGGTACATAATGTCAAATAAGGCCAGTATGACACATATGTACTATTGTTGAGATGATCATCACAAAAATGTATAGAACAATCTTCAAGGGATGATGCTTGTAGGCTTGAAATAGCCCAACAGAAGAGACTGTTTGGAAACTTGCAGTCTTGATTCAGGCCAAATATTTGTTTTTAATCACAGAACCATGTTAGACCTGATCGGAGTCTCTCTCTAGAATTAAAAAAGATAGTTCTAAAAAATTTAAGAGATTGGATCATTGCATTTTTTTTTTTAACAACACTTTTTTTTAGCTGCAGAGAGTAGCTACCAATTTGCAGCTATGACTAAAGATATCAGTATACTTAGACGTTCTTCCTTCTTTTCATTCCTGTTATACCTGGCTCCTGAACAAATAATTTTACTTTTGCTTCATTCTTTCTTGATCTTGATTACTTGAAATTTGGTTGGTGCTGCCGTCAGCAGTGTTGAGGAATGGGAAGAAAGACTGTGTCACCTATAGACATGTAGGGTCTTTCACACCTTTGGTGTTTTATAGTTGGAGAGTGGACACTGGCGTAATCAGCTAATTATTAGTGTTTTATTTGCATATTTATCAAATTACCTTTGATTTGGGATTCACTTTTTCATGAAGGCTCTTAATAAGAGAGAAGTGGTTCAGTCTTCTTGGCATTAATAAACCTACACCTTTTCTTTGAGGGAAGGAATTGTTCAGAATTGTCACCCTTACACTCTTAGTTTAAGCCATCCTCTTTGAAAAATAGAGTGAAAACTGTGGTACCGTCTTTTTCTTATTCTACTGTGTTTCAAACGACAGGTGACAGCTCAGGTAAGAAATCAAAATTATTGTGACAAAACCATTAATTCTAACTAAAAATTCCATGAGATAAAAATCACTCATATTTTGTTGATGTCATGATTTTACATAGTGCCCAGTGGATGAATATTTGTTAATGTTGAATACATGTAACTTAATTATGGAAAGATTCATATCATAAATTTAATATTTCAAACAAGACTTATTTCTTTTGGATACAAAAGATTTACTTAAAAACAGCTTGTCTATCCATCCATTCATCTATTTATTTTTGGTCTGTTTTAAGGCCACAGAGAGTGAGGCTGGTGATATGGACCTTAGTGGGTTGCCGGAAACAGCAGTGGACTCTGAGGACGACGATGATGAAGAGGACATCGAGAGGGCCTCAGACCCTCTAATGAGCAGAGACATCGTGAGAGACTGCCTGGAGAAGGACCCCATTGATAGGACAGATGATGACATTGGTGAGTCGGGGTGAGGCAACAAATCTCAGAGCAGTTTAAAGAGTTTAGAATAAGACTATCTGGGACAACAGAGCCCAAGAATATTAGGCTTTAAAAGGTCATTTCTCTCAGCATTGTTGAAAACATCTTTGAAAAAATTAATTTTACTCAGTCCATAGCTTCAAGAGGCCACAACTGATAAAACTTCCAAATAAAACCTTTCCAACATGAGCTGTTTCTTAGCTTACTCTCGGACCAAAAAAAATTAAAAAGTCAAAGTCCTCTTCCAAACATTATCACATTTGTTAATATTGTGAGCACTGTTCTGATAAGCTCGAGCCCCTCTCTGTGTGAACATCAATCAGGTGGCAGTTGGTAGAGCTGTTGTTTAAGTGACTGTGCTCCTCCTGTGGTTCCGCAGTGAGGAGAGGCTAGGGGAAGAAGGGAGCAGAATGTCAAGTGAGCCCCACATGAGCCTAGAGGTCGGGGCTTTGAGTGCGCCTTAAGATTATGGGTCTAAGTGGCTTTGCATCGCTTTCCCCTTCCTCCAGGTTCCCTTGACCCAGCTTGGCCATCAGAATAAGAGTTGATTGTGTAATGATTGTTTAGTGTTTGACTCTTCCTTCCAGACCCTGTTTTTTCCTTAGATGCTGGGAGTGAGACCACCTTCCTCTGAGAGCATCTCTGCCTGCAGGTCGGGAGTCTATAACACCCTTGCCTGAGCCCCAATTATCTGCTCTTCCACGCCCCCAGCTCTTTTGGGGCCAATATGTATTTGAAAGAAATTCAAGGAACTGAGTCTAGTGGGATTAGATACAGGACAGTACAGCCATCGTTATATGTGAGTGGCTTGTTTCTTGTGTTTTGAAGAGAGCCAAACAAGGAGAATCTTGTACCTTTTAAAATCTGCACATATGCTAGGGAATTAAAGTTGGTAAACCAGGCATTCTAAAATACCACTGAAACCACTGATAGAAATTGCCAGCCATTTAGAGATGACTGTTGTGTGGGGTGAGCACTCAGTCACTGGCTAATGTGACTGCACCTTGTGTGGACTGAGAGCCTCCTAGGTCCTGGCAGCCCAGTGGAAATGAAGCATGGAGGCGCTGATCCGGCTGGCTCTGAGGAATAGAGTGGGTTTTGGGGTCATAATCCCGGGGTGTGCACTGAACAGGAGGCTGTTGGAGGAATGAAGGACTGTCAGCGCCCTTTTGGAAGCTCAGACCTGGAAGAGAGGAAGGAGCCAGCTCTGCCTGTACCTCCAGCGCAGAAGTGCCTCTGCAGTAACCGTTTCTGGGTTACTGGCTTTCTGTTGGAGGATTGTAGCTGCTTCTCCCATGCCCATCCCTGTTCCTCCATACTTTATCCCACTTCCTCCTCCACCCGCTCCACTCTTTGGTCTAAAGGTGCTCGTAGTCACAGGTCTTCTGAGGCTTCTGCAGCATGAAGTCAAGTGGTCCTGTGTCATCCTTGAAGACTCAGGGTTTAGCTTCCTTGCATCTGATCCCTCACATTCATCTGATTTCCACTGTCCAAAGTGTGTTTCACTCTCCTGTTCTCTTTGTCTTTGTGATTTCTCTCTTTTTTTAAAAAAAAATTTATTAGCGTGTAGTCAACTTGCAGTGTTGTGTTACTTTCAGGTGTGTGGAAAGTGAATCACTTATGCATGCATCAGTAGTGTGTATGTCAGTCCCAAACTCCTCATTTATCGCTTCCTCCCACATTTCCCCTTTGGTAACCACAAGTTTGAGTCTGAGATCCAACTTTGTTTTCAGTGTCTCTTTATTGTAGCTTTAAAGAGAGAATGAAGTTGGAAGTAATGTGTTTGGTTTGCCATCTTAAAAATTCTTGCTCATAGAGTTTATAAAAAATAGATTAAACATTGCTTATGAACAGATTGACATGAAGGTTATCCTTGTTTGAATATGCTCATTTTACTATAGTTATGGAAGAAAGTTATGATTAGTAAAATATATGAAGCATGTCATTCCTGGAAATGTAAGGCATTCACTTCATATCTGAGAAGTTTTCTCTTCTAGAATTTCTAGGAAGCAAGACCTGTGCAGATTCCTACAAATGAATACCAAGCTAATTATTTTAAGGTGCTTATTGATATAATCTCTGGATGAATTACTTGTAGTTGAATACAAATACACATGTAAGCAGTGATGACTCAGATGCTTACTCCTATCAAATATATTTTTATTTAAAGTAGTAAATCTTGATAATTAAAGATAAGGCATAATGGCATTATTTGATCTACACAAGGTCTTGGAGGATCTTATATTCCGTCTCCTCCAAATACAGCCACGTGTGAGAACACTTTGGCTTGTTTCCCCATTACTCTTGGTAAATCTAACTCATTTTCCAGTGTTTAGTTAAGGCAGACACCTTTCTTATGAACTACAGACATCTGTGTAACTGATGCTTTGTCTAAATGTCTCTCTGCCTAACCACCTTCCTCAACCCAAGGGATGGGGTGTGTTTGTGTTTTAAGTTTAGTCAAATCAAGCTGCTTATATTTAAATATGTTTTTTAAATTTCAGGAATGAAAAAATTTCCCCTCGGGGTCCCATAGATTCTTAGGTGTGCCTTTGTTTCAGTACTTTGAAGAAAGGCACATTATTCATGTTTGCTCTCCAGCTTGTAACTCTATAGGTACTCAATTATTGACTACTTTTTTTTTTTAAGATTTTGAGGACTTGACATATAAAGGTAGAAAAGGACTTTGATCCCTTTCAAGGAACTCCTCTTTTTTCCCCTCACTTGGTGTACCCCACACACAAATCCACAAGTTTGTTTTTTTTTTAATCTTCATTATTTCTTATGTAAAATTAAACCAAAGCAATAAGATAAGGATTTTTCTGAGTTGACTAAAGTTTCTGGTGTCTATAAGTTGATTTTTGGCTTTTCTTTGTGTTACGATGAGTAGAAAAAAGTTTTATTGAACGTCTAATATTTTTTACAAACAGGATTATTCCTTTCCTGATGAAGTAGGGTAGGTCACACTAATGTATTATTCAGACAGAGTCTTGCAAGCCATTTAGAATAAAGTGATTCTGTTTCTCCAGCCACAGAACTTCTCCCCATACCCTAGGAGCTATCTCATTACCTGTCCCATGCTCTCAATCCTCAGCTACCATAACCCCTGTAACTCTATATGTTTCCTGTGGCATCAGGGTCTATGTTGAGCTCCTGAATCAAATGCTTCTGTTTTACATTATTATGTTTTTTAAAGATTAGTGACATAAATTCTTTATTTTTAAAATTCTTATAATCCTCTGGTGTAATAAATAAATTATCACACAACTGGTGATATCATTATTGAATCCTTGAGAGTTTTAAAAGCCCTTGCATATTGTCTGGTTAAGTATTTAATTTTTCAATTGAACTTGGAGAAAAATGTGTATTTACTATTATTATATCTTATTTGTATTCTTTGTTATTTATCCTTATTATATGTGGTACACAGATATTTTCTATCCCATTGTATTTTATTAATGTTAGTCACTTACTCATATATCACAGACTGATTTCATGACCCATTAATGGAGTAGGACACTGCTAAAAAATAAGACAGATGTCCATGCAAGCACTTCAAATCATTATTCCAAGTATTAGTGAGTATGCTTTATATGTTCATATGCCTCATATTCGCCTACCATATGTGGTGGTATTTTAACTTTTATTATTGTCTAAACATGTTAAATTTAAAATATTTCTGACAATTAATTTCTGGTCTCATATTTTTCTTAAAATCATACATGTTTGTCCAAGGAAGTTTAACTCCTACCAGGAGAGGGAAAAAAATAAAATGTATGTTATAGCTAGTATTTTAATAGCTGTATTTTAGCTCTGATTTTAACAGCTAGTATTAGCTAGTATTTTATACCTTATGGTGAGGAGTGGGGGATGGTAGCTAAAGAAAACAGAGAATGGTAACAGCAATACTAACTGTGATGTGTCAGCCAGAGGACCACGATTGGTTCATCTGCCTTTATGTTTCATATCAAAAACATACGCATTTGTAAAACAGGGAGTCCTGCCTCCTGTAGATAGTAGATAGGGGTCATCTCTTACAGGGATATTCAGAATTGCCTCATAACTGCCCCCAGGTATATTTTATGACACAGCACAAACACATCTGCTCATTCCAGGAGTAAAAGTTTCACTGAACGAAACTTACTCTTTCTGTAACTGATGCACTGTGATACTCTCGTTCCTTCTTTTTAAAAAAGGCTGGTTGCAGCAGCCAGTTGATGTCCTGATAACATCAGTCTGGGTCAGGTTGAGGAGCACTGTCTTGTTGGACAGAGTCCCTGGCTACCACTTACCACTGTTATTCTTCTGATTACCAAAGCCACCGCCGTAATGAAAAGTCTTACACAGCAGGGATGACGTAGGGTCTCCACTGAACAGACATTACCAAGCTAGACCAGAAAGCACCACCTCGTCTGACCTTGTAGGAATGTAGTTTTCATAAAATATATCTTTGTATTATTATACATTGCTTTTGCAATTAGCAAACTATATCCAGCAACATAAAGCTCGTCATCAAATCCTAACAGATGGAATGTGCATAGAGACAATGTCATTACGTGAGGACAAGGAAAATAGAGGGAAATTTTCACTTAGCCAAAAGTTTGAACAATGCCGTGAATATAATATTGAATAATCATATTATATATAATAATATATAATAATGACAGTAATAGTGGTTCTCATTTGTTGAGTATTTACTCTGTGCTGAGGACTTTATCATCTGGATTGCATTTGATCCTCAGAACTGTCCAGTGAAGGTGGGTATTATATTACTCTTTTCCAAGTGAGAGAAACATGTCTAAAGGGAACAAAATCAACTTTCCCAAAGTAATTCAGCCAGTAAGTGTCCACACGCTGGCACATGCCCTGTGCTTTTCATCATCACCTGTGAGGTCCAGCTGAGCATAGAGGTAGACAGCCCTGAATCCTCTCACTGCCACCTTCTCCTTACGTGCCTTTGAGCCTCGATTTCCTCCTTGTGAAATGAAAAAGAAAGCACGCATCTCATAGAACCATGGTGAGGAGGAAGGAACTTGGAAAGGAGTTCTTATTAAAAAGAATCTGCTTGTCCACAGCATTGCCACTGGGAAGAGTGAGCAGACTTTGTCAGTCTATGAGATCCGAATTAGCACGTCCATTTCATTTGCATTCATCACATAATGTGAGCATGTTAATTGATTCTGGGTTTTTCTGATTCACAGAAAATATTCCCTGCTTTCTAAATCCTGGAGTATCTTTAGAGTGAGGGTGGTTGTTTCTGCCATCTGTTTTTGGGCACCCAGTTGCCCAGAGGCACCAGAATGGACCTACTGACTTTCTGGAGAATTCCCAATGCTCTGTTTCATTTCAGCTTATCACATCATCCTGTAATAAACCTTAACAAGATCACAGCTCATTTTCAGTAGCTATCCCCCATTGAAGTTTATTGATCTCTTCATTACCATTGGAATTTGAATCACACTGAGTCCTGTTGCTCCTGAATCAACAAGGAAATGTTACCCTTTCCACAGTGACAGAATTCTTTGTATACCTGCAAGAAATTCAGTGTGCTAAAGATACTTAAAGTAATTGTATTGTTTAACAGGCAGAATTGTTAGGGCATTTAAAAAGAAAGGACCCCAGAGCCTTCTTTCTGAATGCTTGTTTTTGAAATTAGTGTCATTTTCTTCACACACCTTCTACTTTTCAGAACAACTTCTGGAATTCATGCACCAGTTGCCTGCTTTTGCCAACATGACGATGTCGGTGAGGCGGGAGCTGTGTGCTGTGATGGTGTTCGCTGTGGTGGAAAGAGCTGGGACCATCGTCTTAAACGACGGTGAAGAGGTTAGGAAATATTTCTACCAATTAACAATGTCTCTGTGTGAGGCTCGCTCAATGCAGCAACGAACAAAAACTCTTTCTTCTTTAAAAACAATGGGCAACAATAAGTTTGCATTACTCGGAATTATGATACACTCATTGTGTCAAAGTCTTTTCCAAATCCATTATTTTATTGTCTATTATTTGCAGTATTTAGATGATACTGATATTACAAACATTTTGAGGTTTTAGCTTTTCAGATTTTGCAGTTTAAATATTTATAATGCCTCTTGTCAGAACAAAATGATGTTCTTATCAAGGCAATGGTGGTCGTTTTCTCTTGTTTACATGTGTTTGGGGAACAGAGGAAATTTTTTCCCTCGTGGCATTTTAGAGAGGAATACTCAGTCAGTAGGAGAGTGGAATGCCGTGCACCCCATGCAGGCATCTGGAAACCCGTGGGTCGATAGCTGAGCTTTAGTTCTTGTTCTCTGAACCTGGCGAATGGTCAGCTGTGCTTGGGGTATTTTTCCCGCTTTAAAATAAAAGATCTAAATCATTTGTAGGGACCATTCCAGCATTTACAGCTTCATGATCATGATGTTATTTTCTGCTCTTTGTTTCCTGGAACTAGCTGGACTCGTGGTCAGTGATCCTGAATGGTTCTGTGGAAGTGACTTATCCAGATGGAAAAGCAGAAATACTGTGTATGGGAAATAGTTTCGGTGTCTCTCCCACCATGGACAAGGAGTACATGAAAGGAGTGATGAGGACAAAGGTGGATGACTGCCAGGTATAAATTGTCATTAAAAATGTATGTCTTATGCTTAACAAAGAACACTTACATATGCAGTTGTGGTTAAGATTTTTTTCGACCTGTAAAAATAGGTCATCTTTTAGAATTATAAAGCTTTTAAAGTACAACTATGACTTTTAGTGTTATCATACTCCAGGAAATTAAAAATAAATCTCCCTTAAAGTTATTTGAACTCCACAAAACTAAACATTCCATAAATGTGTTCTATTAAAAAACAGGTGTTCTATAAATATGATATCTTAAAATTGCCATCAATAATAGATAATCTAGTCAACAGAAAATATGGAAGTGAAATGTCCATCATGAACAGAAATTATATAGAGATTATAATAAAGTTGCTGTGATACAGTTACATGGTGTTTTTATTTAAATACATGCGAGATAAGGAATTGATTTTAGAAGTCATGAAAATTAATCATAGTTGAATCAGTAAAAATACTTGCTAGTAAAGAAATGACTGCCAATGAAAAATACAGTGTCACTATTGATATTATGTTAATATTCATTATTTAAAAGCATTTAATAAAAGACTAGAGAGTATATTGAGACCAAATGTGAAATATAATTTGATCAATTTAACAGATAACCTCTATATTAGTGCAAAATAAATTTAAGATGCTTTTATTATTTCATATTTATAATTCCATGTCTTAAAAACCAACCTTGAAAAATAAAATATTTTAATATAATAAACCAAAAAAGTTGACTTAAACTAATTAATGAGACATGCTCACTGTATTTATTAGTCTACAGTCTGAAATGCATCTGAAAATAGCTTATGCTAAAAGAATATCATTGAATTTTTGTAGTGTCTGATAAATGTAAAGCAGTGTTCATTTAAATTTTCAATTTTAAGTGGTTTACTTACTAAAAAGAAAAATGACCATGGCTATAAATAAAATTGTCTTACCTAGAGAATAATTTTGCTAAGTAATTCCTCCAGTGAGCACTATAGAGAACAAAAAAATGGCTATAAATTCAGTGTGTTGAATATGTAATGCCAGAGGAGCATTCTAAATATAGCCAGCTTTCAATTATTTGGCGTATTAGAGGAAAACAAAATGGTAGATAAATCTCAAAGTATTTGGCCTCAAAATCTCAAATTATTTCTTTTAAGAGGGGTCATATATGACATTTCAGCTTTAGAATTATATTCCCCCCCCAAAAAAACAAAGCCAAACTGTGAGTCAAAATGAACAGAAAAATTGTTCAGGGTTTCTCTATCCTTCTCAGTCCTGCCCCCCACACCCCACCCCAGCCCTTCTACAAGTCACTACACACCTGAGTCAGTCTGTCCTTAAAGTGTCAGTGAAAGTTATTCCTGAGAATCCAGCTACTATGCTATCACCTTGTAATTGGCCAACCCCTTTTACTAGAAATTTTGCAATCGTGGAACTGAAATGATACAGGAGGCATAGAAATGTTTCAGAATAATTGATAAAATATTATATGAGTTAATATTACAGAGTATTTAACTAATATCAGATGTACTAGGTAACATTGAATATTTATCTGGGAGTTTGGGGAAAAGAAAAGAGGAGGTGGATATTAGGAGGAGAGTTCATCTATTTGCTGGATAAGGAATCAACAGGAAACCCAGAGTGATAGTCCGTAAAGTAGATCCCAGGAGAAAACTCTGAATGAGAACGAAAACTCTGATTAAGATAATATTAGGCTCCTGTAGCTCCTTATATGAGACTCCAGATGTGCAGAGAGGGTCACAGATGCAGTGTCTGCTAGAGAAAGCCTTTTCTTACTCAGTAGGCCACTCTGCATGCTGTAAAAGGAACATGAAATAAATCGGGTTCAAGAGTCATCCTTGTGCTTCCACCCATCCCTCTCAGACCCTAAGTTCCCCCCCTCCTTATTAGAATGGGCTTGGAGAAAAATTTTAGGTATTTTAATGCTTATTTGGGATAGCATTTTTATTACATTTCTGTTAAAATGTCATGTATTTTTCAGAAAGTGCCCATGTCACATCCTTCTCTTGTTGGGGAAAGTCAACAGTGAGCATCACATTTTTATCCATAAAATGACCTCCACAAGAGTGTCATTCTACTGAACACACTGTAGATAATCAATATTGATTGAATGAAATGAACAAAGCTGGTGTTCATTCCAAGAGGAAGCAACCTTAGCAGGTTGACCCTCATTTGCTGGCCTCTCAGTGGGTTCCAAAAATACATGTTGGGTAGTGTGGTTAAAGTGGAGCCCACGATCAGCCTGAGGACGTGGTGTGAGTGGATTCAACTGGACATTTCTTTCTATTATTATTATTGGAGAGTAATTGCTTTACAGTGTTGTTTCTGCTGTTAAACAGCATGAATCAGCTATAATATATATATCCCCTGTCTCTTGAGGCTGCCCTCACGCCAGTCCAACCCCTAGGTCATCATAGAGCACTAAAACCATACTTCAAATGGTGTTCATCTCGCCTGTTTGGGTCCTGTGATGCCCCCAGCACTGAGCACTGTGCCCTACCCCGCTCCCTTCTCTGTGCTTCTTCTCCTGGTCTTGTCCGCTTTGGGTTCGTAGGACAAAGGCAGGACCGGGCATAGACGTCCTCAGGTACCAGGTGACGGCTCTGCTTTTCCGTTCCCCATCCAAGTTGTTTCTTTCACCCTCTGCCTGTCCCTCTCTTCCTTTCCTGCTCTTCCCCTTTCTGTCTCCTTGCCCCCTCTGCCCCACCTGAGTCTTGGGCCTGCCAGAGACACCCAGGCATGCCTTAACCCTGCACTGCACCCTTCAGCAGATCGCGAACACTTGAATGTCTATGTGGGCAGTTAGGCACAGGGTACCAGTTTAAATAGAGCTCACCTCTTAAGGGAAATCTGTGAGACTCAGCTCTTCCTGAGACCGTGAGAGCTGTTGGTCAACGTTTAACTTTACTTCATTTTGTCATTTTCAATATGTTTACTAAATGAAAGCTGTGAGGTCATGTTACCCTGTGACATAAACCGTTTTTGCCTTTTTATGAGAAAGCTTAGTTGAATTTTTATTTCATATCAGAGTGGCAAGATCATACCGGGTGAACAGCTGTCTTAAAGTATAAAACCTGTCTAAAACAGTTGTGTGTTCAGTTCAGTTCAGTCGCTCAGTCATGTCTGACTCTTTGCAACCCCATGGACTGCAGCATGCCAGGCCTCCCTGTCCATCACCAACTACCAGAGTTTACTCAAACTCGTGTCCATTGAGTTGGTGATGCCATCCAACCATCTCATCCTCTGTCGTCCCCTCCTGCTTTCAATCTTTCCCAGCATCAGGGTCTTTTCCAATGAATCAGTTCTTTGCATCAGTTGGCCAAATTATTGGAGTTTCAGCTTCAGCATTAGCCTTCCAATGAATATTCAGGACTGATTTCCTTTAGGATGGACTGGTTGGATCTCCTTGCAGTCCAAGGGACTCTCAAGAGTCTTCTCCAACACCACAGTTGAAAAGCATCAATTCTTTAGTGCTCAGCTTTCTTTATACTCCAACTCTCACATCCATACATGACTACTGGAAAAACCATAGCTTTGACTAGATGCACCTTGGTTCAGTTCAGTCACTTAGTCTTGTCCAACTCCTTGTGACCCCATGGACTGCAGCACACCAATCCTTCCTGTCCATCACCAACTCCCGGAGTTTACTCAAACTCATGTCCGTTGAGTTGGTGATCTTTGTTGGCAACTCACAAATTTTCAACTGGCTTTATCATACCTATTTTTTCTTTTAATTTAATGTTATATCTAAAAATTTCTTAAAGCAAAAATAAATTTGCTAATTAAATAATTAATGGTTTCATCTAAAGTGTATTTCTTTTGCAATGTCAGTGCTGTGTGGCCATATTGGAAATTCAATTTGGGATTCCTTTTTTTTTTTTTTTTTGCATTTTTGGATGGTATTTCAGTTTGCTGCAGAAGAAATGCCAAAAATGTCTGTCTAGACACTAAGAATTTCAAATCAAATTTATTCTAATTTCTTTAAGTCCTTAGTCAAGAGGATTAATTTTAGTACATTTCAAAATGCATTTTCTTTTTATCTCTCTACTTGTTTTAACTCAAGAATATATTTCTTTTTTAGGAGATAAACAATATAATTATGTTCTCTAAAAATGAGTATGAGAAAGAACACCTAAAATTATTTGGAGACTCTGGGAACAACTTGCTGCCCTGTAAAAAGAAAAAAAATTAAAAATATTTTTGAGCCAAGAACCACATATTTCAAACATATGCAAACCTGTGGTCAGTGTTAAAGATATGAGTTTGGAGGTAGTTTCTGGCATTAAAAAAAATTTACTTAGCTATCCATAATTACTTACAATAAGAGCCTGTGCTTTTTGAATTATAACTTTTTTATTCTAAACTAATAAAAAATTAGTGATATTATATCAACCAACTCAGTGGAAGAAGCAATGTTGTAGTATGCTATTTCTTCCATGTGAACTGCTGCTGCTACTTCTGTAAAAAAGCTTTAATATGCAGAAAGTATGCAAAATATAGAAAAGTATATTAAACAATGAAAATTGCTTGTTATTTGCATTGCTCAGAAATAATAATCATTCTCCTTTGTGATTGGTACCCTTTATCTTTTTTTCATTTAAAAATAATAATTCTTAAAAAGTAATCATTGATTTTGTTATATCCCACAATTTTTATATGCATGTATATAATTTTAAATTAGCAAGCAGATACTTATGTGACATTGGGAGACTAGCATGACGTGGTATGGCTGTCTCCTCATCTGTGCAGAGGGGATAATAGCACCTTCATGGTATCCCATAAATGCCATGGGAGGTTGAGGATAAAGTAAGAAAGTTCCTGCCAGGCAGCCACAATGTAATAATGATGATGTCATCATCACCATTAAAATCATTGTTAAAATATTTGGTTTAAAAATTTTTTTTAAATGGTATAATATCAAAAATATTGAGTTAAAAGTTTAGATGTTGTTTAAAAACATGATTTTAGATGGCTGTAGCATCTGTTATCTGCCATACGCTATAATTTAGCCATTCCCTCTCTCTTAATCTTTTCATGTTAAAGGAGAAAAGAAATGTTCATTCTTCCTTCATTCCTAAATGGTTTTTTTGCAATTTTAAATATATATATTTTATTGAAGTATATTTGACTTACCCTAAAAATGATTTCTAAAATAAGAATAAATTATTCAAAATTCAGAGAAGACAAAAGTTTTAATTTAAAAATATATTCTTGCCTCCTCAGTGGCTCCTGGTTACTTTGTGTAATAAGTGACTTCTGGAATTCATTCTTCTCTTTCTTTAAAACTACTAAGAAAAAAAAAAACTACTAAGAAATATAATTAAATGGATTGCCCTGAGTCCTGATTTTTTTATCTTTGAGGTCATGGAGGAGTAATTGCTTGATGTGCACATTTTTGTTAACTTCTTCTTTAACAGCAAGGATTAACCTTAATATCAGTTATGAGGAATAACGATTTGAGCTTAAAAAGTATGTGGCTTCCTTTGTAGATCTTTTTGAACAGACTTTTTAAGCTGATTTCTTTTATAATATAATCACACATTTATAATATCTGCTGCATGGATATCTTTGAATTTCGATATCATTTATTAACATTATCTTTTAAAAAATTGTTGCTCTCAAAATCTTTTCAAATTTTTAAAACCCACTAAGTGCTAATTATGTTTTTACATCTATTTTTAAATAATAAATAAAATTTATCAAGCACATATTATGTATCTAGCACAGTGGAGGAGCTTTACCTGGATTATTTGATTAAACCTCCAGAACAACCCTTTGAGGGTGGTGCTATTAGGATTATTTCCCCTTTTCAAATGCAAAATAAGACCCACAGGTTCTTTTCTCAGGATTCCACAGTGAGAGGTAGTAAAGCTCATGTGTGAACCAGTTAACCTGGCTCTAGAAGCCGCAGTGAGGCAGGATGGGGGCAGTTAAGAGAATTTCCTCTTAAAAGCAATTCTGTGATGATTTGATTAGCAAGCTAGGATTTCTTTCTTTCTTTCTTTCTTTTTTTTTTGAAAAGACAGCCTCTTTATTTATTTTTTAAAGGAATGATTTTGGGTGGGGGGCTTCAAGAATTGGTATTTTTATTTTTTCCATTTATTTTTACTCGTTGGAGGCTAATTACAGTATTGTAGTGGTTTTTGCCATACAGTGACATGAATCAGCCATGGATTTACATGTGTTCCCCATCCCGATCCCCCCTCCTGCCTCCCTCTCCATCCCATCCCTCTGGGTCTTCCCAGTGCACCAGCCCTGAACACCCATCTCATGCATCCAGCCTGAGCTGGTGATCTGTATCACCCTTGATAGTATACTTGTTTCAACGCTGTTCTCACTGAACATCCCACCCTTGCCTTCTCCCACAGAGTCTAAAAGTCTGTTCTGTACATCTGTGTCTCTTTTTTTGTTTTGCATATAGGGTTATCATTACCATCTTTTTAAATTCCATATATATGCGTTAGTATACTGTATTGGTCTTTATCTTTCTAGCTTACTTTACTATGTATAATGGGCTCCAGTTTCATCCATCTCATTAGAACTGATTCAAATGACAAAGGATTAATCTCAAAAATATATAAGGAACTCCTGCAGCTCAATTCCAGAAAAATAAATGACCCAATCAAAAAATGGGCCAAAGATCTAAACAGACATTTCTCCAAAGAAGACATACAGCTGGCTAACAAACACACGAAAATATGCTCAACATCACTCAGTATCAGAGAAATGCAAATCAGAACCTCAATGAGGTACCATTACACGCCAGTCAGAATGGCTGCTATCCAAAAGTCTACAAGCAATAAATGCTGGAGAGGGTGTGGAGAAAAGGGAACCCTCTTACACTGTTGGTGGGAATGCAAACTAGTACAGCCACTATGGAGAACAGTGTGGAGATTCCTTAAAAAACTGGAAATAGAACTGCCATATGACCCAGCAATCCCACTTCTGGGCATACACACCGAGGAAACCAGATCTGAAAGAGACACGTGCACCCCAGTGTTCATCGCAGCACTGTTTATAATAGCCAGGACATGGAAGCAACCTAGATGCCCATCAGCAGACAAATGGATGAGGAAGCTGTGGTACATATACACCATGGAATATTACGCAGGCTAGGATTTCTTAAGCACCGGAGAGTCCGTTTTTCACCTGCCCACTGATAGTAAAACAAAAAGTCATAACCTAAAAAGAGTGGTGGTTCCTTAGCTTAGTCCTCTGGATTCAGGTGGCACATTAACGATTCTTAAACCAGGAACACCCAGCAGCTGCCCTGATGGACTGGGTTAAGATCCATTATTGCATGCTTCTATTCTGAATTCTTTTCATATTCTTCTGTTCTGTTAGGACCATGAGCCTAACAGATAATTAAGCAACCACCTATAGACTCTCTCCAAAGGTTTTTTGCTGCTCTGCCCACCAACCTAGATGGCATATTAAAAAGCAGAGACATTACTTTGCCAACAAAGGTCTGTCTAGTCAAGGCTATGGTTTTTCCAGTAGTCATGTATGGGTGTGAGAGTTGGACTATAAGGAAAGCTGAGTGCCGAAGAATTGATGCTTTTGAACCGTGGTGTTGGAGAAGACTCTTGAGAGTCCCTTGGACTGCATGGAGATCCAACCAGTCCATCCTAAAGGAAATCAGTCCTGAATATTCATTGGAAGGACTGATGTTGAAGCTGAGGCGCCAGTACTTTGGCCACCTGATGCAAAGAGCTGACTCATTTGAAAAGACCCTGATGCTGCGAAAGATTGAAGGCGGGAGGAGAAGGGGGCGACAGAGGATGAGATGGTTGGATGGCATCACTGACTCAACGGACATAAATTTGAGTAAACTCTGGGAGTTGGTGATGGACAGGGAGTCCTGGCGTGCTGCACTTCATGGGGTCGCAAAGAGTCAGACGCAACTGAGCTGACTGACTGACCACAGTTGTAAAGAGAAGCACTTTCTTTTCTAATTTTTATTGGTGTATAGTTAATTTACAATGCTGTGTTAGTTTCAGGTGTACAGCAAAGTAAATCATATATCTAGAGATACACACACACACACACACATATCCTGTTTTTTCTTTTCTTTTTTTTTTTTAGGTATCTATCCTAAGAGCCCACTCTCCTCCCCCAGTGTTTTCTAATCATCACAAAAGGGGCATGAAGAATGAATATTCTAATTTTATCTTCTGATTTTTTTTAATTGTTAGGATTTTTAATATAAATTACATATAATTATTCTAAAATGAAACTTTTCTTGACCAAGGAAGAGATATATTAAAAAGCAGAGAAGTCTGATGAAGGTTCATTACCGAGCTCATTTAAAAAGTATGGGAAAGACATGGAAAAATGTCAGTCTTAAATATTTAAAACACTGAAGCATTAGCACTGCTAGGTCTCTTGCAAGCACTTTATCATTAACATGTGACTTACATTTTATTCTAGTTTGTCTGCATAGCCCAGCAAGATTATTGCCGTATCCTCAACCAAGTAGAAAAGAACATGCAAAAAGTTGAAGAGGAAGGAGAGATCGTCATGGTGAAGGAACACCGAGAGCTCGATCGGACTGGAACAAGAAAGGGCCACATTGTCATCAAGGTGAGACAAACACGCCACATCCCACGGGAGGAGGGTTTGGTAGTATTGCTTGTGATGATTTAGGATGCCCCCTCCTCATTTTTCAGTGTAACTTCCCTTAAATGTATCTGTTGTAAAGAATCTTTGAATTTCTGTGACGAACAGTAGTCTTATTCATTATTGTGTATCTTACTACCCAGTTCGTCTTATGTTGAAGATTTGAAATCTAGGTACATGTAGATGCCACGCATGCAGGATGCTGATGACACGTGTGATTTGTTACAGGGCACCTCAGAAAGATTAACGATGCATTTGGTGGAAGAACATTCAGTGGTGGATCCAACGTTCATAGAAGACTTCCTGTTGACCTATAGGACTTTTCTCTGTAGCCCAATGGAAGTGGGCAAAAAGTTGTTGGAGTGGTTCAATGACCCGAGCCTCAGGGATAAGGTTGGAAGATATGTTCTAGTTTCCTTTCAAATGTGAAACATTCAGATATAATGTTAAAAAACTTTAATATATATAATTATTACACCAGTTATGTTCAGATTATGTTGGTGGGTTAAGAGAATGTACTTTTTAAGCAAAAGAAAAGGGATGCTACAAATACTAGTTCTTGTTATAGATTCTAAGTTCAGCCCTAGAATTTTCTTTTTTAACACAAAGACCAATACATTGGACAACAAATGTTTCAGTAGATTTTCCATGAGAATCATTCCATATGTAGATTTATTTTTTATGTATTTTTGGGAGGAGGTGAGCTCCATGTCCTCCTCCTCTGACATCTCAATTCCTTTCCCCTCAACAAATATTTAGACTCTAGTTCTATCAAAAATTCTATTAAAACACAACCCCGAAATACCTGGGTTCCTTAGGAATGTGCATCCTCTAGTTCAGTAGCTGGCCAGTGTACATACACCACATAGAAGTCATAGGCTTTCAGTTGCCCCAAAACAGCATCTCCTCTCAACCATTGTGGGTGGGTAGGGCCCTATTGTGTAATTCCGAACTGATTCTCTTCACCAGCTCTAGAGTCAGGCTCTTTTTCAAGGCCAAAGACGGTGAGAAGTTTCTAGTCTTGTGAGGTTTGAGAATTAACTAGCCTGTACTCATTTCTCCTTCCGTATGACTGCCTTGTTTCTATGAGGCCCAACGTGGGAGAGGCAGGGTGGAAAACCCAGAACTGGGGACAGACAGCAAAAGGTTTCCAGCTCCAGCGCTGGTCCTGCTGCTGACTGCCCCTTGGCCTTAGAGCAGTCTTCGGACAGTGATGCTCTTCATGTCATCATCTGAGAGTCACAGGCCTAGAAGACCTCAGCTAAGGCCCTCTGCCGTAAAACTTCCTTTGAGTGTTTCCTCTGCCATTTTCCTCCTGCCACTCACCTCTTTATTTGTAAAATAGCAATCTGTGTCCTTTTGGGGTTGTTGTGAAGATGAATAACTTGGTACTGTCTGGCTCACAGCGATCTCTTACTGCATCTTAAAGGTATTGGCGGTAGTTGGAGTATTCAATTCATGATTTGCAAATCTCGTTTTTCTAACCTGGAATACAGCTAATAGACTTTTAAGGTGGCTTCTCAGCTACAAAATTTTAATTTTATGAAAAAGTCAGGTATTAAGGATATAGTTTCAGGGGAGACAATAATCTTGTTTTCTTCAACTTGAAAAATGGTCAGTAGTGATAATAAATGACCAAAAACTAATATAAACATCAACTTGACTCCCGAGTGTTTACTAAGATTACATACTATGATTTGTCCCACTGTATTTAACAGTAAGCAGCATTTTAAACTGTAGTTTAAAGATTAAGTGCATACTGTCACATCTGTTTCTTTCCTGTTAGAATAGCATACTTCATTTTCCCGCTTTAAGAGGTTAGTTAATGCTTGAAAACAATGCTATGGAAAATTTCTTTGATCTTATTATTCAAGATTGAGAAAGTTAAACTCATATAGAATAAAACAAGTGCTTTTTATTTTAAAGTTGCAGTTATACTCCTTTCATTTGGTAAAATTTTATTGAGAGTTTACTCTGAGCCAAGTGGTGTTATAAATATTAAGGATGCCCTTAGAACATAACGGATAAGGTTGTCTTCGTGGAACTTACAGTCTAATGAAGGTTGCACAGTTCTTGCTGATATAAAGCAAATATTCCTTAGCTGAGTGTGTGTATTGTGATGTATAAAGGTATAGGACTCAGTGAAAACATGTGAACAGAGTAAGAAAAAGTAACTCATTTTTCCTGCAGAATTGTAGATGGTAAAGTTTCTGTCTTCTTGTGTATTAATTTATTTTGATTCTTTTTTTTCCTTTAGTTTTTGTTGTGGCCTGTTTCAAATATATTTTGAGAGTAAGCAAGATATATGTTAATTACCATCTTTCAACGTAAAGTCCACATTTAAAGTATTAATATATACTTTCAGAAAGTTACCTCATCAATAAAATCTAAAGGTTTTGTTATTGTTTTTCTTGTTCCTTGTTAGGTAAATTGTTTGTTGGATATCTTTTTTTGCAGTGACCTTAAACACAAATCTTTAGCACTAGAAAGAAGAAAACCTATTAAAAATTAATTGATTTTTCAGGTTACACGGGTAGTATTATTGTGGGTGAATAATCACTTCAATGACTTTGAAGGAGATCCTGCAATGACTCGATTTCTAGAAGAATTTGAAAATAATCTGGAAAGAGAGGTAATATTTGTGATTTTTTTTTTCTTTAAATCATAGCTTTAAGTTCGTTTTATTCAGCCCATCCTTGAAACCACTCTTTTTGAACTCTTGTAGAAAATGGGTGGACATCTAAGGCTGTTAAATATTGCATGTGCAGCCAAAGCAAAAAGAAGATTGATGACGCTAACGAAACCATCCCGAGAAGCTCCTTTGCCTTTTATCTTACTTGGAGGCTCAGAGAAAGGATTTGGAATCTTTGTTGACAGTGTAGATTCAGCTAGCAAAGCAACAGAAGCGGGCTTGAAACGAGGGGACCAGGTATGGTATTTCTAGTTGCAAACGTAATGGTAAACACTGGTGTCTTCTTTTCCTTCAGTCAATTGGGAAACTGAAATTAATTTTATAACTTCGTTTTTAGATACTAGAAGTAAATGGTCAAAACTTTGAAAATATTCAGCTGTCAAAAGCCATGGAAATTCTTAGAAATAACACACATTTATCTATCACTGTGAAAACCAATTTATTTGGTAAGTATTTTGCATTTTTTTGCATAGTCTCGTTTTTCTCCTTTGCTCTTTTTTTTTAAACATTTATATCTTAATCATGAAAAGTCATTGCTTATAATTCAAACATCATAAGAATTGAAAATTTATAGTAAAGTGCATAGATACAGAATTAATTATGTAAGCATATAATTAGATCTAAATAAAAGCCTACTTACTTGAGGACCATAACATTTAATTTTATTGATGTTTTTATTGGTAAATATTTTAAATATCTGTAAAGAATAAAAATCTGTCAATAAATACCTGTAACTTATTCTGAGTAGAAGTGGCAGAAAACATACAAAACAGATTCTTGGTGTCATTCATTCCTTGTAGGAGTGTTTTTCTACAGGATTGCAGTTTTGATCACTGCAGTCTCTACTTAGTGTCTATTTCCAAGTTCTACAGTTGTCTTTGAATTATTCAGATTTCCAATATTGGATGTTTTTTTGTGTTTGTTTCCTTTTTAGTATTTAAAGAACTTCTAACAAGATTATCAGAAGAGAAGAGAAATGGTGCCCCTCACCTCCCTAAAATTGGAGACATCAAAAAGGCCAGTCGCTACTCCATTCCAGATCTTGCTGTAGATGTAGAACAAGTGATAGGACTTGAAAAAGTAAATAAGAAAAGCAAAGCCAACACTGTTGGGGGAAGGAACAAGCTCAAAAAGATACTTGACAAGACTCGGATCAGTATCTTGCCACAGAAACCGTATAAGTAAGTGTCTGTATAAATTTTCTCTGCATTGTATTAAAATAATAAGCAAACGTAATAATGTAATGTTTACTCAGGAGTGTAAAAATTGTCTTAGCTTTTATGGCAGAGCTATCTTAGAAGCAACTGGACAATTGTTTTTATCCCATTTTTGCCACTTGCTAGCCTACTCCAATCTTCTTAGAGATAGTTAGCATTTCTTTGTTTGGACTATTTTATTTCTCATTTGGACTTTTAAAAAATGTGACTTTACTCCTGTCTCCCCTGTGGCATGATGGGGTTGTTTCTGCTCTTGTTTCTTTGTTTCTAGGTGTCTGTTCCACCATCAGCATCCTCTTTTGCCAGCTGAGTCTTTGCGGCTCCCAGCTGCTACTGTCTACCCTTGCCTTTCTCTTTTTCCTTCCGTCTCCTGTTTTCAGTTACTTAACTGTTGACGCGACGTCACCAACCAAGCACAGAACTCCTTTTTTTCCTTCTGGTGGGCTCTGCGGTCAGCGTGTCAGGTGTATTCTTGAATCTCTTCTTGGCTATTCGTTTATGCCAACAGCTCATACCAGACAAAGTTGCAAGTGTCACACTTCTAAAACTTTGCTTGTTTACTCACTTTTTTCTTCACTTTAGCTTCTTCTAGATCTGTGGATGTTTTATAAACCTCAGTTGGCAGTGGTGGTTTAATTACTAAGTTGTGTCCAGTTCTTTCAGCCCACCAGGCTCCTCTGTCTGTGAGATTTCCCAGGCAAGAAGACTGGAATGGGTTGCCATTTCCTTCAGGGGAATCTTCCCAACCCAAGCATCCAACCCACATCTCCTGCTTGGCAGGTGGATTCTTTACCACTGAGCCACCTGGAAAGCCCCATAAATCCCAATTACCATCAGTCAAAATTTTTTAAAATGTTAAATTACACAGGTGCCCAAAATTTATTTATTATATATTCCTCTAACTACAGTAATATGAGATAACTTGAAAACATAAGGGTTATTTTTTTTCTTTCTTTCATGATCTAATAGGTCTTACAAAGTAGCAATACATATAACCATTCAGACTTTATCAAGTCTTTTTTCTAATTCCACTTCTGATAAAAATTTCATACAAAGATTAGAGAGCTGTGTTCTAGAATATGCTGTTAGTGGATGATATGTCAAACTTGTGTCCCTATTAAACTATAATGATTGATGCTTTCATATGAGCTAGAAATGACTGCTACAGCAGAGTCCTGAGGATAAGCAGTGTGTACATGGCTGTATTTATAGACTTGAGAGTGTGTTTGTACCAAGTAAGTTTCTAAGAGACAGCGGATCAGGCCTGCTGGCATTACAGAAAATAGAAATTGATTTTTTAAGTCACCCTTCATAATGAAAAACCCATTTTTAATTGGGTAAGAAAATTACTTAAATGTAGAATTATTAGCAGCACAGTAACTAAAAAAAAACAGAGTTATATCTGACCATGAGTTAAATATGAACCTTTAAAACAATCTTAGCACAAGTCAGCATGACCCTGGGGAGTATTAATAGAAATGTGACCCGTAAGAGCTGAGATGAAATCCATCCCTAGTACAGGGTGTTGGCGAAGGACACAGGATGAGAATACTGTGTATAACATTATTATGTGTATTTGGAAAGATACTCAAAATCCAGAAAAGGGAAAAGAAGAAAGGATGATAAATAGATTGTTGATTTGGAAGCACTGAGGAGACATCTTCAATAATTTGCATTGAAGAATATATATGACTCATTTAAGCATTTCATTTTGACCACATCTTTACCCATTCATCTGTCAGTGGACATGTCCTGGCTATTGTAAATACTGCTACAGTGAACATTGAGGCTACACATGTGTCTTTTTGAATTATGGTTTTCTCAGGGTATATGCTCAGTAGTGGGATTGCTGGGTCATTAGGTAGCTCTGTTTTTAGTTTTTTAAGGAACCTCCATAAGTGGCTTTATCAGTTTACATTCCTACCAGTGGTGCAAGAGGATCCCTTATCTCCACATCCTCCCCAACATTTATTGTGTAGGTTTTTTGATAATGGCCATTCTGACTGGTGTGAGTTTACAGTAACTCATTGTAGTTTAAATTTGAATTTGGATCTCGCTGCTCTTTGATAAACTAGATGGGTGGGATGGGAGAGGGCGGGGTGGCGGGTGATAGGAGGGAAGTCCTAGAGGGAGGGGATATATGTAAACATATGGCTGATTCACTTTGTTGTACACCAGAAACTAGCACAACATTGTAAAGCAATTGCAACTCAATAAAAATAGACATCTTATTACAAAAATTATTTAAAATCATCTATATATGTAATGTAATTGAAAAGAATACTTATATTTAAAAGACGGCTCAGTAACCTATAGGATCTTTTATGTTGGTATATGGACTTGATTTAATAGTAGTCATTACTTGGGCCTTCCCAGGTGGTGCTAGTTGTAAAGACTCTGACTGCCAGTGCTGGAGATGCAAGATATGCAGGTTCCATCCCTGGGTCGGGAAGATCCCCTGGAGTAGAAAATGGCACCCCACTCCAGTATTCTTGCCTGGAAATTGCAAATCTTTCCTAATAATCAGCATATGTTTACAAAGATTTTTTTTTCTAACAAAGCTTATCAAAGTAGTCAAGCAGATAAATATTCCAGATATACTGGGTTTTTTCCTCTCTTTCTCTCTTTCTCAAACATTATCAGTATCACAGAAGCTAAGGTGCCAGACGGTGGCCACCTGGCAAGGACAGGCCTGGTAGAGGGGTGTGAGCAGAGGAGGGAGGGTAGAAGGGGACGGTAGGGCTCAGGCCCAGTTGTTGGGTAAGTGGAGAAAGACTACTGAGCCCCGAGGAAAGAGAATAAGCCAACAGACTACATAGAAAGTTAGCCAAGGTCGAAAAAGTCTCAGGAACAGAGAGAGAGTTTGAGAGTCCGGCAGGAAGAGGCTGCACTCAGAGGTGGGCCTTTCTGAGCCTGATCTTGGCCTCACACAGCTTCAGTCCAGGAGTGCTCTTGTGTCTGTGGATGGCAGAGACACAGGCCAGAGTAGACTGTTAGATCACCGTGTTGGGTGTGACCTGTTGCTGGAAATGGGTCTGAAGAAGGCCGCACTTCGGGAACAGCCAGAGTGTCCGACCAGTACTGACAGCATCTGCGCCAGCAGGAGCCCAGCTGGCTCTGTCTTGGGCCTGAGTCCACAGCAGTCGTATCGAGTGCAGTATGACATCTCATGTTTTGGGCAGTTAAGCCTGCTTTATAAGGTTGAAAGATAAAATTCCACTAATAATGTGAATGTTTTAATGTTTCACAGGACATTAATCCTTTTTGTCTGCATATACATGCCTCTATGCACTTACATAGAAATATAGTTTTGTTATGAATATAACCAAGAATTTTTTAAATTGTTATTGAAATATAGTTGATTTATAATATTTCTCAGTTTCAGGTGTACTGCAAAGTGATTCCGTTTTATATGTATATATGTTTGTGTATTCATTCTTTTTTAGGTCCTTTTCCATTATTGGTTATTATAAAAGATTGAGTATAGTTTCTTGTGCTATAAACAGAGGGTCCTTGTTATCTGTATAATAGTGTGCATATGTTAATTCCAAAGTCCTAATTTATCCCTCCCCCTCCCCTTTCTCCTTTGGTAACCATATGCTTTCTATATCTATGAGTCTATTTCTGATTTGTAAATAAGTTCATTTGTATAATTTTTTTTTATATTCCACACATAAGCAATATAATAGATTTGTCATTCTCTGTCAGACTTCCTTTCCTTAGTATGTTCATCTCTAGGTCCACCTATATTGCTACAAATGACATTATTTCATCCTTTTTTATAGCTAAGAAAGGTGCCATTGTGTTTATATACCACATCTTCTTTAGCCATTCTTTTCTTCATGGGCACTTAGGTTGTTCCCATGCCCTGGCCATTCTAAATAGTGCTGCAATGTAAATGTAAATGGAGTGCATATGTCTTTTCAGATTGGTGTTTTCTCCAGATATATGGCCAGGAGTGAGATCTCTGGACCATGTTTACATATGAGTTTTTAAGAATTTATACTAACATCATCCCAAGTCTTGTCCTTACTGATTTGCCTTTGTGATTTCCATTTCTCTCCCAAATAAAAAGGAAGAATGCTGCTAGATTATTATTATTATTTTTTGCACAGCCATTAAAAATGATATGTAGTAGGTATTATGATCAAGCTGTCATGTCTAAAAATTTAATGATGCCGCATCTTAATTTTATGACACCTTGATTTATGTCTTAACATAAATGATCTTCTTCATTTCAAGGTACTTATAGAAATTGGTTAGAACTATAACCATTTGCTTGTGTTCTAGTTAATTTTGTGTTTGTGCTTACTGCTTTATTCTGATGTTTTGTTTTGGAAATGGTTGGCCCTTCAAATCTAGAAATAGTTTTTATGTATTATTAAATCATGTTTCAAGAGTTATACCCAGGCTTTTATAAATGGAAGTGAGTTTGCAGCTATCAATAGTAAGCAGTACTTCTCTTGGAGCTTAAATGTAGAACTAGAAATTTTAAGTAGAGAGTTAAAAGTAAAAGTGAGTCATTGGATTTCCACTGCCTCTTCTTTGGTGCCAAGAAATGTCACCTTGCACCACTACTTTTTTATGCTCCATATAATTAAGAAATAATGTCTGTGTCAGGCTTTCTTTACATTTGACTCTATCGTGATCTCATTTATCTCTCTGAAACATTGGAGGATGAAATTGGGACAGTTTGGACTTTTTTTCCTCCATTCATTTTACTCAATTTCTTCAGTTCTTAAAGATAAGATTATAAAACAACTTATCATTCTGAGGCAGAAGTCATCATTTGAGTGACTAAATGCCTTTCTTAAAATGTGCTTTTTCTTAACTCTATTTCCATGACTAACTCGGGCTTATCTTTTCTTAAATATATGTCTGTAACTCAGAAACTACTAATACTCGTTATGATTCATCTAGTTAAAAAGACAGGTTTTAGAGAAACGTGCACTTGAGTTGGATACACAAGCAGTAGTTGCTTTTGTAATTTACAGTCAAATTTATTAATGATATTTGCACATTAACTGCTAGTATTCTGAAATATGGTTTATTTCTTATCTGTGTGCACTATCTATTGGTGAGCCATAACTTTTTAACTTGCTGATCATTTATTTTGTACCTTTCTTCTTGGTCCAGTGATATTGGGATTGGTCAGTCTCAAGATGACAGCATAGTAGGATTAAGGCAGACCAAGCACATCCCAACTGCACTGCCTGTCAGTGGAACCTTATCCTCCAGTAATCCTGACTTACTGCAGTCACATCATCGCATTTTAGACTTCAGTGCTACTCCTGGTGAGCACCACTCATACGGTTTTGTTTTTTTATGTTTTTCCCCCTAATGTAATGGCAATGCTATGTATATCTCTCTTGCTTTGGCATGGACTCTGTCAGATGCTAAAAGTCATGATAAATGTAAATTTAAAACAGTTGGAACCAGTTTTTTTTATTATTATTACTCAGACTATTTTAGTTTGCCCACAAGCAAATGGATCTCTCAGATGTTCCCTTTCATAAAATGAAGTTAACATGGTACCATGCAGCTATTACCAGGTCATATTAAATAAAAAGTAAAAGGCATACTTTAGATCAGCTTCCTGGATTTTTCAATATAATAAAGATGAACTTTAGATTTAAATTTTTTCCTTTCTGCAGACAACTTTAACTGCTGCTATTGTGATCGGATCTGTTTGTCTGTGGATCATTTGGTTATCCTAGGGCAAATGTGTTCATTCACTGTGCCTGTATGTTGACTGAATCCATCTTTGAAGAATTGTTGATGTAAGGGAGAGATGGAAGTTTAGCATTATCTTTTCTGAGAATTTTTTTTCACATTGCTTTGTTTAATTTTATTACCATGTACTGAAATCCTTTCTACTGACATATGACTCTTCTTTCCACCAGACTTGCCAGATCAAGTGCTAAGGGTTTTCAAGGCTGACCAGCAAAGCCGCTACATCATGATCAGTAAGGACACTACGGCGAAGGAAGTGGTTGTTCAGGCCATCCGGGAGTTTGCCGTGACCGCCACCCCGGATCAGTACTCACTCTGTGAGGTCTCTGTCACACCAGAGGGAGTGATCAAGCAGAGAAGGCTTCCAGATCAGCTTTCCAAACTTGCTGACAGAATACAGCTGAGCGGAAGGTAGACATTATTCATCCTGTTGGATTTTTCTACCCCCCTCTCCTCAAACCCAAGTATCCCTGAAGATTAAAAAGATTTCCCTCATTCACTGAGCATTGCCACATCAAAGGGAATGCGCACTGTAGATGGTTGACCCTCACAAGGATCTCTTAGGAACTTGTGCAAAACAAGGCCGCTGTGACCTGACCGTTCCTTGCTGCTCAGCAGTGCTCATGCTCCCATCAGGACACGCTGGCAGAAAGGCACACCCTTCTTCTGGGAGTTGCACATTCACAATACACCTTCCACCTTCCTGTGTCATTTGCTTCTGCCTACCTGACTTTTCTAGGAGCTTCATTTGTTTAGGTAGAGATATCTGTGACAGCGTGCTTGGCTAAAGCTGCCTATTATTGTTCATGACACTAATGAAATATCCTTCTTAACACCGGAACCAAAGCTGAGTTGCCTCAGGGCTTGGTCTTCTGCTGCCTTGTATTTGTAGGGAAACATTGTATGGGATTTTGTCAGCCTCTCAAATGGTGTTTCCATTCAAATCACACATTAGTGAAAGTTGGAAAAGTCATTATGCCTTGACTTTTTCGTATAATGACTAGATTTTGCACTTTCTGAAAATTGAGTGTTTTCATAAATCATATTTTTTCTTTTTTTCTCATCATATGGAGTGTTTCATTGTGTTCTTGCCTTTTGTGTTAAACATCTAAACCTGATTTAATTCATTCAGAACTTCTTTTTTCTTGCTGCCAGCTATAACTTTCTTGCTGTTCTTCACTTTCACTTTATTACCAGCCCCAACTCTGGTAGGTAGTGTCCATTTTTCTCGTTAGGATTTAAATATCATTGATCTGTCTGTGATCATGATGGAGTTCTCCAAATCTCCACTGAGGTGCAGAGTCCTGATTCACAGTCATTGCTCAACAAAATTATAAATGGATTCACATCATGGGCTTCGTGAGTAATCAAAGTTGAGAACATCTATTACTGTCAAGCCCTGAGGTCTGTGTCTTCTGTCACGTCAGCTTTGGTGAAATATGCAGAAGGCCAGTTTGACAGGATCACAGTTCTCTTTCTGTTTCTTCCTTTATGGAGTCTGGCTTAAGAAAACATCTTTCTATAAAATCAGTTAAAAAAAAAATGACAGAGTAAACATCTGCACTCTCTTTGGACAAGTTGCTGACAGAGAAAAAGGCTCACGGGCCTTGAGTTCTCTCTCTGCAGCTGGTGTTCATCTTTCTGAGCCCCTGTTTCTTCATCTGACAAGCAGGAAACACACGCACCCCACTTATGTGTAGGGTTTTTGTGAAAATCAGATATTCCAAAGTCAAAATCCATCTTAGGATCATTCTCCTCGTAGCACCAAATAGAGGGAAATGGCTTACAGGGTTTTTTGGTATTTGAATAAATAGGTGAACTTGGGTGGACCAGAAGTCACAGAGAATCCCCAGGGAAACAGAGTGGTCACTGTGTGTCGGATCTCTTCCTCTTCCTTCCTTGGATCCCATTTCTTTATTTAAACCCATTATCTAAGTTCAGCTATTTTCTGTCCTTATTAGCCAAAAAAAAAAAGAGAAAATAATCTAGAAGGAAGGGAAGAGTAGTAGGAAACAGATTGCAGGTGATGCAAATGCAGTTCCGTGTGACGTGTTTGCTTCTATCAGTGGCTTCTGGGTGGTGGTCTGTGGTCTGTTGTCTGAGGAGCTACTGCCTCCTCCGTCTGCCTAGCAGAGTCCCCACATCATTCAGCGGTACGTCCTCACTGCTCTTCTGTAGACAGCGCCGTTCTTCCAGGAATGTCTTGAGATTGCTGCTCAGGCTCTGGGTTCTGTGTCCCCCACAGGTACTACTTGAAAAACAACATGGAGACGGAAACCCTTTGCTCGGACGAGGATGCGCAGGAGCTGCTGCGGGAGAGCCAGATCTCGCTGCTGCAGCTCAGCACCGTGGAGGTGGCCACGCAGCTCTCCATGCGCAACTTCGAGCTTTTCCGAAACATCGAGCCCACTGAGTACATTGATGACTTGTTCAAGCTCAAATCAAAAACCAGCTGTGCCAACCTGAAGACGTTCGAGGAAGTCATTAACCAGGAGACGTTTTGGGTAGCATCCGAGATTCTGCGGGAGATAAACCAGCTGAAGAGGATGAAGATCATTAAGCATTTCATCAAGATAGCTCTGCACTGTAGGGAGTGCAAGAATTTTAACTCCATGTTTGCAATCATCAGGTGAGAGCACGTTCATCATAAAGAGTCGATTCGGTTTGCAGGTTAAAAAATATATATCAATCCAGGAAAGCCATACAAATTGTAGGAGTGTAGTAATTTTTTAATTACATCACATGGAATAATTCTTTTTATCTGAATCCTAATTGTAACCCTTTATTTAAAGTCTCTTATAATGGATGGACCTAGAGATTATCATACTAAGTAAAATCAGACAGAGTAAGATAAATATCATATGGTATCATTTATATGTGGAATCTAAAAATATATATATATCTGTGTGTGTAAATGAACTTATTTACAAAACAGAAGTAGACCCATAGACATACGAAATAAACTTATGGTTAACAAATGGGAGAGAGGTGAGGGAAGGATAATTTAGGAGTTTGGTTTAAAATATATACACTATTATATATAAAATGGGCTTCCCTGATGCATTGCTCAAATGGTAAAGAATCTGCCTGCAATGCAGGAGACCTGAGTTTGATCCCTGGGTTGGGAATATCCTCTGGAGTAAGAAATGGCAAGCCATTCCACTGTTCTTGCCTGGAGAATCCTATGGACAGAGGAACCTGGCAGGGTACATACAGTCCATGGGGTCACAGAGAGTTGGACTCAACTGAGCAATTAACATATTTAAAGTAGATAAACAACAAGGCCCTACTATATAGCATAGGGAACTATACTCAGTATTTTGTAATAGCCTGTAACAGAAAAGATCTGAAAAAAGAACAGATATATATGTATGTGTGTGTGTGTATTAATAAAAAATATATATGACAAATCACTGTGCTGTACTCCTGAAAGTAACACAGCATTGTAAATCAGCGGTACTTCAATTTAAAAAAAAAAAAACCTTGTATGCTGATTTAAAGCCCAGGAAATATGTATTGGCCATTTTTTTTTTTTTTAGCTCTGTGACTTGGGGCAAATTATTTGAATTTCTCTGAATGTCAATTTATTTCTGTATAAAATAACAATGACCCAAAAGAGTTATCAAGTAACCTAAATGGTATAATGTGTATAGAGTTCCATCAGTTGCACAAGGCAGATGGATGCCTAGTAAATGTTAATTTTCTTCTCCTCTAAGTGCTTAGAGGCTGGAAGAAAATACAGATTGAAACAATGAACAAAATTGATGCCGATGGTTAAATTAGTCATTTTTTCTAAGAATTTTATTATACTATTATTGTTCTTATAGCTTTTAAATTATTACCATGGGGGATATATATATATATATATATATATATATATATATATACACACACACACACATATTTTTATTGGGGTACAATTGCTTTACAACATTGTGTTAGTTACTTTTGTACAACAAAGTGAGTCAGTCATAAGTATACATATATCCTCTCCCTCTTGGACCTCCCTCCCCTCTTTCCCCATCCCACCCCTCTAGGTCATCACAGAGCACAGAGGTGAGCTTCCTGTGTTATATAGCAGCTTCCCACTAGCTCTCTATTTTACACATGGTAGTGTTTATTAATATATGTCGATCTTAATCTCCCAATTCATCCCCCTCCCTCTCGTATCCATACATTTGTTCTCTATAATCAGCATCTCTATTCCTGCCCTAGAACTAGGCTCACCTGTACCATTTTTCTAGATTCCACATATAAGCAATATTATATGATACTTGTTTTTCTCTTTCTAGCCTCCTTGACTCTGTACGACAGACTCTAGGTCCATCCACATCTCTACAAATGACCCAGTGTCACAGGATATTTGTTAATCTGCTTTATCAAATGCCTGCTTGGTGCCAAGTACTTTATGTATGGAGATCAAGCAGTGAAACACAGCCCTGCCCTCGTGACACTCGACACTATAGCAGTTCTGCCTACAGTAAATAGACCAGAGGCTATAAAGGGGAAAAGAGGAGAACTCCAAGGGCCTGTCCCTGCTTGCATCTTCAGTCGTCATTACCCAGAATTATTAATAGCCCTTCGAATCCTGTACATTCCTGTGTATACACAGCATGCACCCAAAAGTGTTGTGTGTTAATAAATAAGCAATACATTCTTACCGTCCTTCGACAGGACGAGTCATTTAATTTTATACCACTTTGCTTTTTTCCCTCTCAGTGGCCTAAACCTGGCTCCAGTGGCAAGACTGCGAACTACCTGGGAGAAACTTCCCAATAAATACGAAAAGCTGTTTCAAGATCTCCAAGACCTGTTTGATCCTTCCAGAAACATGGCGAAATACCGCAATGTCCTCAACAGTCAGAACCTGCAGCCTCCTATCATCCCCCTGTTCCCAGTGATCAAGAAGGATCTTACGTTCCTTCACGAAGGTAAATATATAAGTTGGAAGGTTTCTGTCTCCACCGGTGGAAGTGTAGGATGAATGCCATGTGATTTCCTTTTCCTTCTTTACCAATTACAGGGAATGACTCCAAGGTTGACGGGCTGGTCAATTTTGAGAAGCTAAGAATGATTGCAAAAGAAATCCGTCACGTTGGCCGAATGGCCTCTGTGAACATGGACCCTGCCCTCATGTTCAGGACTCGGTGAGTGTCTCCCTCAGTAGTGTTCCTGGGGCTAGAGAAGGTTGAGCTTAGAGCTTCCTAATCAATGAGAGAAGGTTTTGAATACATCCGTCTGTGGTGAGATTTATCAGGGTGTGTACAGAATCTCCATTGAGCTGTAATTCAGAATGACTGTCTGATTCCACATCTGGTATACTTTGGGCTCTGAGTGAAAACAGTTTGTCCCTCAGACAGTGTTCATTGACCATGAGACACAACTATTCTTATTTTTCAGAATGCTGATTTGCAGAGCTAAAAGGCATAATTGATAGTATGAACTAAAATATATAAATGATCCAAGTGGTATTGTCTCACTATCCACACAATGTATTGAGCTGTGAGTGTAGCCAAAAATGATGAATCCAGCGAAGGAGAGAACAAAAAGTCTTTACAACAGAATATTCACTTTTATTTGTCTTTTGAGCCAGAAAGCTATTGCTGGTCCAGTTGTGTGTGTGCGTGAGGCAATTATGCAGTTTATGGTTTGTGGGCTTCTAGTACTGCTTATCCAGAAGTCTGGTCCTTTCTTTCTGAGCTTGTGATCTCTCTGTCTCTCTCTACACCCATGCTTCAACCTCCACGGCTCTCACTTACAGGAAGAAGAAGTGGAGGAGTCTGGGGTAAGTGGTGGCGGCACGGCACACCCACACAGTTCTCATCCTGCTCATGGCATTGTGCTTTTCTTACCCGCTGTGTTTCCTGATGCTTTGCATTTTTGCATTTTTTTTTTCTTGACCCTCTTGCTCTAGCAGAATTTCAGTTGGCAAACTGACTTCGAGTTTAATCTACTGGGGCTTTTGCTTTTGAGGTCATGACCCATGAGAGCTGTGAAATGATTGATGACTCTTATGGGGAACCATAGGCCACACCTTACTCCTGAGCTTTCAGAAAGATTTAATTTTAATACAATTTGTGTGTTTTGAAATGAGAAAAGTCTAACGGGGTGAGGGGAGAAAGGATGTTAGAAGGGAAAATTGTGCAATTTAAATACTGTTGCACAGATTTTTGTGAAGTGAATCTATGTAATACAGAAGGTGCCCCTACATGTTAAAACTAAATTTTTTACAGCTCAACTAACTACTGTTTTCATTCTATAAACCAGTCCTTTTCAAAAATAATTCTTAACAACTCATATGCTAGTTCCTGTACATGTGTGTTTACATTTGCATGACCATTTTATTAACAAATTGACCATATTACTCGAAAAACTCACTACACTTAACCCAAGCAATAAGAAAACAATTGTGAACATTGTGGGTAAATTTCTTTAAATCTATATAAGACATCCCCTTTAGGAGAAATAAATTTAATGTCACTGCTAATTATTGTAACTGTGTATTCTTGCATGAGCTTTTATATATAATAATTATTCATTGCTGGCTTCTACAAGAGAACTGCCTTGGATGCTTTTAGAGGCAAAAAAGTAGAATTTTTAGTTCGAACAGAACAAGTACCAAACTTGTATGTATACCTATAGTGTATGTAGAATTCTTTTTAATTTGAAAAAAATCATTTTAATCCATATATTATGTGTTAATCTATATGAACATGATATGATTCTATATCCCCTTTTGACAGTTTACTTACCAGAATGAGGCATATGGCCTCTTGAACTAGACTGTTAGAGAAGTCTTGGCACGTCTCCTGTGGGTATAGTGACCCTGTGCTGGAGCGAGCTGTATCTCTGCCTTTTCATCTTCCAGGTCGCTCAGCCAGGGTAGTACAAATGCGACCGTGCTAGATGTTGCTCAGACAGGTGGGCATAAAAAGCGGGTGCGTCGTAGCTCCTTTCTCAATGCCAAAAAGCTATACGAAGATGCCCAGATGGCTCGCAAAGTGAAGCAGTACCTGTCCAATCTGGAGCTCGAGATGGATGAGGAAAGTCTTCAGACGCTATCCCTGCAGTGTGAGCCGGCCACCAACACACGTGAGTTTCTCCTTAAAGTGGCTGCAGGTCCGGCTGGAATGCAGATAGGTTTCCTGTGGAGCACGGCAGGGCAGGGTGCAGGGGCACATAGCATCCTGAGACACGCTAGCCTTTCCTGTAATTACAGCATACAATGCAGTCCTGGGCTTGGGCTCGTGTCCACTGGGGTTAACGTAGAGACCACGACACCATAGACTACTTCAGGGTGACTGACTTACTTGGTTTCATCTCAGTGCCATCAGGGTGCAGGCAAGGGACGCATGGGCGGATGCAGCTCCCATTCCCATCCCTTGTCTTCTCACAAAGATACCTGCAAAGTGATGGGCAGCCTGGGAGGGGCACAGACCAAGGTGTGCTAGCTGCCTCTTACCCCTTAGCCCAGAAAGCACCCAGCAGTCAGTTCAGCTGCCATGTAAGGCAGGAATTCTGCTCCACAGGGAATCATACCTCAGCCTAGTGCATAGATCTGGCCTGGTCAGAAATGGGGGCTGCTTTCTTTCTCTTGGCATTTGTATTTATAAGATGGAGGCATTTTCCATTTAGGACACTTTGGGATTTTTTAGGGCTGCCCTGGTAGCTCAGTGATAAAGAATCCACCTGTCAGTGCAGGAGACACAGGTTCGATCCGTAGTTTGAGAAGATCCCCTGGTGGAGGAAATGGTTACCCACTCCACTAATCTTGCCTGGAGAATCCCATGGACAGAGGAGCCTGGTGGACTGCAGTCCATGAGGTCACAAAGAGTCAGACACAACTTAGCAACTACATAACAACAGTGGGCAAGTTTGAAGATACCTTCTACAGAGTTTAAATGTTAGATAATTGAGAAGATTCAGGTTATTATATTAGTGAATTTACCCAAGTACTATAAAAGCACCATGTATCATGGTGAAGAGCTTGTCCTCATCAGTCAGATTGGTCTGAATTAAAATCCTGTTTGTTCCTTGTCCTAACAATGTCACCTTAGGCAGGTTATTTAAGCTCCTTTATGTGTAAAATGGAGGAAGTCAAATATGTCATTGAGTTGTCTTGAATATTAATACACTTTAAATATAGCATTTGATTGCCCTGTTAAATTGGCTTGCCTTCTATCTGCCGTGGAATCATACACTCAGTATAATACTCAAGCAATACTGAGTGCTGTTAGCAACATAGATCATTCTAACCCATAGGAGAGAGAATTTGGTAGTAAAAAGATTGTAGCTAATATTATCTGTTAACTGAAAACATATTATGAAATTTGGGGTACCATTTTAGGAAAATAATTTCTAACAATTTTCCTTTTACGGTTTTATATTTGGGTTTTTTATAGACATACTTATAGCATATTAAATGATCCACACTTTTTTTTAATGTGGTACTTAATAGTATAAGTATTTTGAGATGGCTAGCTTCATAAAGTGAATCTTGTCCTGTTGTGCTTTTTTTTCTGTAACAAATGTTCTCCCCCTGCCCTTGTTTCTATCCTTTTTATGGGGAACAGGAAAAAAGATACACATTTCTGTATTCTAACTGCAGAAAGCGCTCATGCAGTTCTATAATTATCTCACATGTGGCCACTAACCTCTTCAACTTCATGTTCTATTTTCAAACCAAACAATTACCAGTGCCTAAGAATCCCAGTGACAAAAAGCCTGTCAAGTCGGAGACCTCCCCAGTGGCCCCGAGAGCGGGGCTGCAGCCGAAAGCGCAGCCGCAGCCGCCGCCGCCACAGCCGCCGCACAAACTCAACCAGGGACTGCAGGTTCCCGCCGTGTCCCTCTACCCTTCACGAAAGAAAGTTCCCGTAAAGGACCTCCCACCTTTCGGTAGGTGACTCCATTCACACCTCCCCCTCCCCCATTTATTTATTTTGTTAAAAGTATTATTGAATTACAAAGTTGGGTTAATTACTGCGGTCAGTTAATCTTCAACAAAGGAGTCAAGAATATGCATTCGGAAACAGACAGTCTCTTCAAGTGGTGCTAAGAAAGCTGGACAGCCCCATGTAAGTCAGTGAGATTGGAACATGCCCTCTCACCATACACAAAAATAAACTCAAGATGGCTTTTGAGTTTAACTCAAAACATAAGACCTTTATGTTTAACTTTAACATAAGACCTATCGTCGTAAAACTCCTAGAAGAGATCATAAGCGAAAACATTCTCTGACACAGATCATAGCAACGTCTTCTTAGGTCAGTGTCCCAAGGCAGTAGAAACAAAACCAAAAATAAACAAATGGGGCCTAATCAAACTTACAAGCTTTTGGACGGCAAAGGAAACCATAAACAAAATGAAAAGACAACTGACAGAATGGGAGAAGATATTTGCAAACAATGTGACCGACAAGGGCTTAATTTCCAAACAACTCAAACTCTATACAAACAACTCGACCACAAAAAGGCAAACAACTCATCCACCCTTTTGGCACTGTTCATTCCCCACCTGCTTCTCAGACTAGGGAAAAGTGCTTATTTTGGGTATCTTCATCTGACACACCTGAGTTTTCCGATTGGCCCCTCTCTTAATAAGACATTAATGTTCATGAAGTTAAACTTTACTTTTGCCGCTGGGAAGGACTGTTCTTACAGAGCATCTCATTCAGTCATGCTCATTTGTCATAGCGATGGGGGCAGTGACAGGACATGAGACTTTTACTCATTTAACTTTTAACAGGTACAGAAGCTGCTTTGCCCATATACCATATTTAAACTAGTTTAACCTTATGATCAGTGAGTTGCTGGAATTTAGGCAAAATATTTCTAAGTGAAATGATTTGTCTGGAGGCGTAACTCTCATTTGTTGAATCATCGATTCTGTAACTTGGGGAGGAAAACAGCTCCAGTTAAAGGAGCTTCATCTTTCCTATTAAAAGTAAAGTATGGACTAGTTTAGTTCTTTTATGTAAGTGGAACAAAATTATTCTTCGTAAAATGTTCTAGTTCTTTTTTCTATCTATATAAATATATATATGTGTGTGTCTGTGTGACAGGAAACAATAAAAGGAAAGAAATTTTAAACAACAACTGGCAGCAAAGAGTTGACTCTTGATAGAGTAGGGTACTGGTAACTGGGATAGTTCCCGGCCAGCTGCAGGCTGTCCACGCATTGAGCAGGAGTCCTCGATGCTCTATGTGCCCTGTCATGAGTACTGTCACTGTCTCCTTCCTCCTGATCAGCAGGTGTCCCATTTGTTGAATTGGGGAAAAGTGAAATATCTCTCCTTTACGGGACGTTTTCCTCTTCGAAATATTTGTGTTGCTACCTCTATCACAAACAAACTGAATTAATGTTCCTTTGTCCACTGTGTTGTTTTTTTAATATAATTTTATTTATTTTTTGGCTGCACTGTGTGGCATGTGGGATCTAGTTCCCCCACCAGGGATGAAATCCAAGCCCCCTGCGGTAGACGTGCAGCATCTTAACCACTGGACCTCCAGGGAAGTCCCTCCACTTCCCTGTTCGGAATATTCATGTACTCCTAAGTCCCCTGCAAGCCAACCTCTATTGCCTCTTTTCTGCTTCTTATATGGACATAGCCTGTTACTCCACATGGAGGCACATCTAATGGAGAGTCATCCCCCTCTCCCAAGGAGACTTTCTCCAATATTTTTAGGCCTATTTGAATTTATGAGCTTTAGGAATATGGATGAAATAGTCATGTGTCTTCTTAAGAGAGTTTAACAAACATTTAAAGTCACGTGATATAAAATATTAACTTAGAGTTGCTGAGCTCACCCAGCACCCCCATTCATGAACTAAGTTTTATTCTGAATACTTCCTACAATTTTTAAAAAATTTTTTTTTTTTTTTTGGATATGGACCATTTTTTAAAGTCTTTAGTGAATTTGTTGCAATATTGCTTCTGTTTTATGTTTTGGTGTTTTGGCCATGAGGCAGGTAGGATATTAGCTCCATGACCAGAGACCAACCTTGCAACCCCTGCATTGGAAGGCTATGTCTTAACCACTGGACTGCCAGGGAAGTCCCCCTTCCTGCATTTTTTATTTTAATGTCTTTGTCATCAAAGTACTTTCAAAGTGGAACAGAGTTTTATAAGGCATAGCATCTTCACATCCATCTACATTGTTCAAAGGCAGCACTTTTTCATTCTGTGTGTGATGCTGTCTGGGAATTTTTCTTTTCCAAATTAAAGCTGTTCATTCATGTAGCTTTAGTGTAACTAGTGTTTTCATGTATCCTGTATATAATTATTATTTGTATGTGTAATTAAAAGATTGCTTGAAAAATGATTTTTAAAAGATTGTATTGAAAAGTAGTATCAGACACATGAGGTGAAATGAAGGATTAAATCTTGGTTAAATTTCATTGCCTCCTTTTTTAATGGATTCTGTTAAGTCTGAGAACATCAAAACTAACATAAGGACTTCCCTGGTGGTCCAGTGGTAAAGAATCTGCCTTCCAATGCAAGGGCTGAGGATTTGATTCCTGGTCAAGGAACTAAGATCCCATATACTGCAGGGCAACTAAGCCTGCATGCCACAACTGAGACCCAAGCTGACAAAAATAAATATTTAAGGACTTCCCTGGTCGTCCAGTGGTTAAGAATCCTCCTGCCAATGTAGGGGACACAAGTTTGATCCCTTACCTGGGAAGATTCCACATGCCTTGGAGCAGTTAAGCCTGGATGCCCCAACTGTTGAGCCTGTGCTCTAGAACCTGGGAGCTGCAACTACTGAAGCCCACACGTCCTAGAGCTCATGCTCTACGATAAGAGAGGCCACCACACCACAACTAGAGAGTGCTCCCTGCTCCCCTCAGCTCGAGAAAGCCCATGCACAGCAATGAAGACCCAGCACAGCCAAAAAATAAAAATAAAAGCTAATATTAATTGAGGTAGTTTCAGCCTCTAATGCCTCCTCTTAGGTCTTTTTGTTGTTCAAAATATGGTAATTGGGAGTGCCTCATAATAATGCTACAGACTTGGTAAAAATCTCTCCATGTGACTTCCTCATATCTAAAGTAGTTTTTAGGGGGGAAATTACCTGAAAGTAGCACATGGAATCCTTTTTCTTCTGCCTTACATCCTCCCGCTTGATCCTGCACTTGGTGCTCGATGGCTCCCCCCGGACACCTCCTCCCTCAGCTTCTGGTTCCTGGCACTTGCAGGGTCCCCTCCTGCTGCTGCTCCTTCATCTGCTTATTGATCAGATATTAGTGTGGAATTCCTTAATGCTCTTTCAGTCTCTTTCCTGCTACTTCCTTTTGCCTCTTGGCTCAATCCTTTCCTGCTATCACTCCCACTTGCCAAGCGCTAGCTTTTCCAACACCAAAATACCTCTTTCCAACCCAAACTTGAGTTCTGATAAATATTCTGAGCTGCACCACTTTCATCCTAACTTAAAGTATTTCTAGATTGTCTTTTTTTTCTTCTTCATCGCTGCCCAACACATTGTTGAATAATGTGGTGGCCAAGGTTCAGAACCTGGCGTGGAATTCTGGAAGCAGCCTCTCTTGTCCCCGCAGGCGTCACAAGCTGCACTGTGGCCCCTGGTGGCTCCTGTGCGGGGCCTCTGTTTACCTGGGGAGAGCACACAGCCCTCTGAGACCGCAGACAGCCGGCAACAGAACAGAATATTAAGTCTTAGCACAGAAAGGTGTTTGGGTTCTTCTGCACATTGAAGTTCTTTCTTTTACAGGCATCAACTCTCCACAAGCTTTAAAGAAAATTCTTTCTTTGTCTGAAGAAGGAAGTCTGGAGCGCCACAGGAGGCCCGCAGAAGACACAATATCCAACACGTCTTCCCAGCTCTCCTCTCCGCCCACCTCCCCACAGAGCTCCCCACGGAAAGGTGACTGGGTGACTTATGTTCTCCTTCCTGGTGACCTGTTCTTTGAGCCGTGATAAATTCCAGTTAGAGATTCCATCATTTCTGACCAATACAGTCACTTAAAATGACCTTGGGAATTCCCTCACCGTCCGGTAATCATGACGCTACTGCTGAGGCGAGGTTCCATCCCTATTTTTAGGGAACTAAGGTTCCTCAAGCCCACAAGGTGCCATCAGGAAAACAAAAGCGACCTGATGTGTAGCGCGCAATGGATTTTTTTCTCCTCAGTTTATAAATTTTGAAGAATTTCAGTATTCTTTAATATTATAACTATAAATAGCATTAAGCTTATATAACTATATAAAATTCATTTTTAGTAATGTTATACTTTTGTTACTCATTTTTTACTGATTGTAAGTGTGGGAATAATTGTTTTTATACCAACAGTTCTAACTAAATATGATTATATAGCATTAATTATGAAGTACGGCTATAAAAATATATAAGAAAACTAGTATATTCCTGATTTATTTTTTCATTGTGTTAACACGGGTCTTGATTATCCTTTTTGTTGCTATCTTATCTTATTTTTAAAGCGATGACGTTTTAGGCACTCAGGCTCTCCTTCCAATATTAATGCTTTCTTATCTTAAAATACTAGGTAATTCTCTGCTGCCTAACCTCAGAATTACTTCCACCGCCTACCCTTTCACTGAATGGGCGTAAGTCCATAAGAAACGGCCAGACTGTTCTCGCTAGCCAAGGCCAGAGAGGTCAATCCACTGTGAGATTTCACTCGTACCACAAATACGCCCCTGCTGGGCTTCCTAGCTTTTTTGGACATCTGTGCATTTTTTGTGGTATCGGTCTGTAGTCTGTGTTCAGTGGGTGTGTCTGAACGCTTCTCTCATCAATTGTTAGGTGGCAGTGGCAGTCAGCGGAGATCTTTTGGCTCCAGGCAGTTGGATTTAACCAGCTCCTCCTCTTCTCTTGGAAGTGAGAACAGTAACAAGAATAACAATGCACCACGGACCTATGGGATAGGTGGGGTTCACAGAAGCCAGGACCAGGGGGAAGGGCAGGAGTCGTCTCATTAGCTGAGGGAAATGGAACAGTCCCTCCCTCCACGTGTGCAGGGCACCACCTGAGTGATGGTTTTCTCGGGTGTTTTTTGGGGCAGACTGTTCAGGAAATCTTGTCTGTCAGAACCCGTAGTGTGGTTTATAAAAGACATTTCATAGATGGACACATTAAATCATATCAAGACCTGTGCAACCTTTAAAAAATAAATCAGGAATTCATAATTTACTGAAACAATGAGAAAATACTCTTTAGAGAGTAATTAGCAACATTTAGGTGTTCTAGATTTCATTTTTTTTAATTAGGTGGCATTGAAAATTTTGCATTGTACACGTATAATCATATAAAATCAGTATTTTAAGTGGCATTATCTTCTTAGTAATGTTAAAATAGAAACGAGTACTGAGAAGGAAGATTTGGATTTTTTGTTGTTGTTAAAAATGCCAAGACAAGCCTCTCTTTCGTTGTGACTTTCAGAATTGTTTTTAGCAACACAGGAGAGTTAAGTGTCCTTCATACCAGAAAATGGACATTTGTTTAGACATAGTGATGGTCCAGGGAGAAAGTGGAGATTTTGTACATTGTATCCTTCAAAACAGTTGGCTTTGTGTGATTTATCCAGTATATTATTAATGTTGAAAAATCAAACAGTAAAAACCCAAAGATAGCTTCTTCAGTTCCTATATGTCCACTTTTAATGTGGATATTCCCAATGGAGTTATTCTCTGCCATAAAATTCTAAAAAATAATAAGGCAAAATTGCTCAATTTTCAGGTTGAGAAAAAGAAACATACTTTTAAATATGATCCTAGTCATTTTTCATAGTTTCATTTGTATAGACGGGTGTAGTATAATTTATATTTAAGAGAGCTCAGATGAGTCGGGTCATGCCATGATCTCTGCATTAGTTCCTGGCTCATATAATGGTGTTTTCTTTTTTCCTCTCTAAACTTTCATTAAACATGCTAAAATTCATTTTGAGTAAACATTTGTGATATCTCAGGTCACAGGTAGAGTGTTTAGTCCCCACTTCTGTGGTGGCTTCTATAGCCAGCATTGTGGACGCTATGAACCCGCAGTGTCTAAGGACTGGTGTGTCCCCACGCAGGCTACACTTTGGCTCCGAGTGGCACCGTGGATAACTTCTCAGATTCCGGCCACAGCGAAATCTCCTCGAGATCCAGTATCGTCAGCAACTCCTCCTTCGATTCATTGCCTGTCTCGCTGCCTGACGAGCGGCGCCAGAGGCCATCGGTCAGCATCGTGGAGACCAGCCTGGCCTCGGGCCGGCTGGAGAGGCGGCCGGCGGTGGAGCCTGACCAGTACAGCCTGGGGTAGGGCTCCTCTCCTCCACACGTGCACTGCTGTTTACTGTGCGTGATGCCTAGGCAGTGGGTGCTCTCCCGTCCCAGTTCTGACACTCAGCATTTCCTGAAAGCTCTGTGCTGTCTGCCGCCTAGGCAGAATGCCTTCACGTTAGGGCTGATCTTCACTGGGACCTGTTTCTCTGTGCTGAGGGCAGGGCCAACTCTGGGATGTGTCTCAGTCCTTTTGTATGAGCTGCCCTCCCAAAATAATCAGACTCCGGTGAGCCCTGTAAGGAGAAGCTTCCTTTATTGTAAGCAACTGGTTGCTCTTTTCCCCCTGGGCCGATGTCGTGCTGACATCGCAGGAGCCAGGGAGAGGATGAACAGGGCAGAGTGGCTGCTGCCGTTGGAGCCTTCATACTCTTCCTGGGAGGAAGGGAAGCCAGGTTTTGAGGGAAAAAGGGGTTTTATTGTAGATTGATTAGTTAATCTTGCTCTTTTTTCCCCTCCCCTTCTCTTCTCTTATCCTTTTTCTTTCCTGTTGGCCGCCTAGGTCCTGTGCGCCGCTGTCTGAGAGCCGGGGCCTGTACGCTGCGGCCACCGTGATCTCCTCCCCCAGCACGGAGGAGCTTTCCCAGGACCAGGGGGACCGAGCCTCCCTGGACGCTGCTGACAGCGGCCGGGGGAGCTGGACGTCCTGCTCGAGCGGCTCCCATGATAACATCCAGACCATCCAGCACCAGAGGAGCTGGGAGACGCTGCCCTTTGGGCACACTCACTTTGATTACCCAGGGGACGCCGCGGGGCTGTGGGCCTCGAGCAGCCATATGGACCAAATCATGTTTCCCGACCACAGTGCAAAGTACAGCAGGCAGAGTCAGAGCCGGGAGAGTCTCGATCAGGCCCAGTCCCGGGCCAGCTGGGCCTCGTCCACGGGGTACTGGGGAGAGGACTCAGAAGGGGACACGGGCACGATCAAGAGAAGGGGGGGTAAGGACGTTTCCCTTGACGCGGACAGCAGCAGCATGACGGCCGTGACTGCAGAGGAAGCCAAACCCGCCGCCATGGCTGCCCACATAGCCGTGACACCCAGTGCCGCCAAGGGCCTCATCGGTAAGCTGGCCGCCGGGCTCTGTCGTGTGTGGGTCATGGCTGCACCCTGACTTATTTCAAGTAAAAGTACGTGTTTGTGGGTCTTCTCGTTCTGTCCCACCCATTGCCCCCTTAGAGCTTCTGAGTTAGCAGTGCACTCAGGATTTTGAGATAAATGGTGGTTAAGAGCCCAGGTTCTGCGCTCTAGTGCTTATAAACACCCTGCAGCACAGGAAACCTTTCATGTGTTGTAGCTGTCGGGATCAGTAGGTTGTCATTATGGGTATTCCCTGCTGTAGTATTGATCTAGGCTGAAAGTTACCAGAAAGGATGGCCATTCTCTCTAGAGGAGGAAGTTTTTTTGTTTAATTGGAACTGGTTTTAAATGTTTTATTATTCTGTTTTGTTCCCTTGAATTGTATTTAGAACTTTACATGTTGCATATTTTAAAATCTCCTATTGATGTTTCTTTTTTTAATTTTATTTTTATTAGTTGGTAAAATCTCCTATTGATGTTTCTTATGTAGGTAAGCTGTTTCTGTGCTAAACAAATTCCCTCTGCACAGGATAAAACAAGGTGGGATAGAAAAGGTGGGGAGGGTGCTCAGAGGTGATGTCATCAGTAAGAGCCTGGGAGTCAGGCTGGCTGGGGTTGTGCTGAATCCATGCTTTACCACTGTCTTAGTTTTGTGACATGGTGAGTCACTAAATGGTCTTTGTTTCCTCATCTGTAAAATGAGTTTAATAATTTCTATCCATGCAGTTGGTGTGAGTTTTAAAGGAATTCTCTGCAAAACACTTTGAACACTAGTGTCCAGATAATAATTCATAAGTACACGAAAGTCACTATCAGTTTGCTGATGCTGTTTTTGTTGTAAAGTCTCTTATTTTCCCTTAACCCTGTCAGAATATATTCTTTATGGCATGTTCAACATCTGCATGATTAAAGTATAGGGATGCATTATAGGATACAGAGTGAGAGATCTTGAATATAATCTTTACAGACATCAATTTTACTAGTCAGGATGTTATAGTTATTTTATCATGTAAATAGTCATGGGTGGATGCCAAATTTAATATCTTTTCAAGATGAATAAGGAAGAAACAATACTTATTCTTAGGTTGCAGTTTTTAAAAGCTAAAGTATAGTTGATTTATAATACTGTGTTTTAAGTGTACAGCAAAGTGATTCAGTTACATATATATGTATATATATCATATTATTTTCCATTATAGGCTATTACAAGACATTGAGTATAGTTCCCTATGCTATACACATGTATATAATCCCAAATTCCTAATTTATCCCTCCTCTCCCTTTTCCCCTTTGGTAATCATGAATTTGTTTTCTATGTCTGTGAGTCTGTTTCTATTTCATATATAGATTCACTTGTATTATTTTTTAGATTCCACATATAAATGATATCATATTCATCTTTATCTAGCTTACTTCACTTAGTATGATAATCTCTGGGTCTATCCATGTAGCTGCAAATAGCACTATTTCATTCTTTTTATTGACTAATATGCCAGTGTGTGTATATATGTGTGCGTGTATGTAACATCTTTATCCATTCATCTGTTGATGGACACTTGGAATTCTTCCATATCATGACAATTACAAATAAAAAAGCACTTTCTTTTGACAAACTAATACACAGAATTTTCATTGCAAAAGAAAGAATGATCTAAGCTCCTAACAGTTGAGTCTAGAAAGTTCAAGATAAGAAAACTTGGCCTTTACCTGCCTTTACAGATTCATGTTTTAAGTCATGAAGTTAATATAAAAGGATTTTAAGGAAAAAATGCATACCTTAATACATACCAGTCTTAAGTTTTGAAATTTGCATTATTTTTGGTATACTTTTCCAAATTTATTTTGATTCCCTGTTTTCCAAAGTGAGACCCGAGGCTTAAAAGTAACATGAATTGATCCTCTGCTGGGTGAGGGTGGATGCCCAGCACAGGGTGACAGCCCGCCTGGCCAGGCCCCTCTCCCGGGTTGCTGGCCTGTGCCTGGGAGCCTTTCTGTTTCCTTTGCCTGGTGTTTCCAGTAAACCCCAGGGTTGGGCATTGGCTGGCCTGGTTACTTCGTGACCAGCAGAGACGCTCTGCAGTCACCTGGTTAGAGTTACAGATACTTAGATTGCTTAGTCACTGTGTCACCAGAGATGACCCACCCGGTGAATAGCCAGTTAGCTAGACGTCCTGCCTCCCACCACATTGCCCTCGCATCCCGCTCCGCAGGCCTACGTGCTATTACACCGCATGCGCACTGTTGATCGTGTGCGTCTGGCCCAGGATGCGCTTCCCTAGATGCTGACTGCAGCGCCTTTTCTCTCCCACAGCAGCCAGGAAGGAGGGCCGCTACCGGGAGCCGCCGCCCACCCCACCAGGCTACGTGGGCATCCCTATCACCGACTTCCCCGAGGCCCACCCACACCCGGCCCGGAAGCCGCCGGACTACACCGTGGCGCTGCAGCGGTCCAGGATGCTGGCCCGGCCGGCCGAAGCCCCCGCCCCAGTTAGCGCCAGGCCTGCCCCCCGGCCGCAGTGGCACCGGCCCGGCGATGGTGACCCACGTGCCGGCCCCAGTGCACCTCCGGGCCTCACCGCCGAGGAGGACGGTACATGCGCTTTCCCCCGTCCCTGCCTCTGCGCCCCACCTCCAGCATCCCCGGTCCTGGCTGGTCTCTCTCCCTCAGGACCCTGCCCACTCAGGGCTCCACACCCCATACCCCTAACCTAGTGTGAGCAGTTGTGCTGCGTTTTGCTTCTTCCTAAGCGACTTGAGGAATAACAAGATTACAGCAGGGTCCTCTGTAATGACATGGGTGCATGGCTCCTTTTCCTTCCCTCATCCTCAGTTTTCTAGGAAAATGTTTGAACTCGGAACGAGTTCCAAATGAAAGTCTAGTGAAGAAAAACCCACTTCTCTAGAGCTTTTTTTGCCTTCTCTGTATGAACCCAGCTGGCCGTTTTGGGGTGAGAACGCAAAGGAGAAGACCGTGCCACCCCTTCCCCCTTCTACTTTTAAGTTTTGAGTTTAACACGTTTTATTCTGCAAAAAATCGTTATAGAGGAAAGCAAAACAATTAATGAAAGTTACTTATAATCCTGCCATTTACAGACAGCATTTTGTTATACATCCTTCTAGACTTTATGTGTGAGTGTATACTACGAAAGGTCACATGCTGCTTATATAACTGTTTTCAGTAAATTTACCATCAATGAATTTCCAATCAGTAAATATACAATATACTTTATTTTAAACTTTTTATTATTGTAAATCATTAGGGAGGAAAAAAGATGAGGATTGTAAGTGACCAGACTTACAAAATAGCTACGGTATAGTGACCTAGACTCAGAAAATAGCTCTGGTGTTTTTATTTAGCATATCGGTGAATGTGTTCTCTCTAAGCACAAGAATGACTTGCTTACTCATTCCTTTCTTTCTTTCATGGTGGTTTTCGCAGAAGATGAACAAGTGTCTGCTGTTTGAGGCGCGGGCTTCTCTGGACCCGAGTCAACCGCCCAAAGGAGAGCACAAGAAGACGCCCCCTAGCGTCGGAGCCTTGGAACTCACACTCTGAGGATGGTGGACCAGTTTGCCTCCTTTCCTGCCTTAAAAGCAGCATGGGGCTCCTGACCCCTCTTCCTGTCCCCTTTGCATGTGAAATACTGTGAAGAAACCGCCCTGGCACTTTTCCGACTTCGTTGCTTGAATGCACAGCGCAGCCGTCTCCGAGCTCCCCGTCGCTGCCTGCCACGTAACACAGCATCATTCCAGATTCCAAGGTCATCGCCACCGATGTCACCCTGGTTGCACTTACCCACGCCGGGAAGGATTTTTTAAAAAATCTCCCTTTTAGATTTCAATCCAGTCCTAGCACTTGGTTTCATTGGAATCGTGAGAAAAGCCAGCCACGGAACTACTTGGGGCCTTTAACCCACCAAGGAAAACAAAAACGAAATCCTTTGAGTACAGTGCTCGTCCGCTTGTTTACAATGTCCTCTTTTTTTTTTTCCTTTTTAATGAGTTTAAAGATTGTGTTCAGAGAGTAAATTTTATATCCATTTAATGATTACAGTATTATTTTGAACCTTTAAGTAGGGTTGCCAGCCTGGGTTTCTCAAAAACCAAATATGCCGGACAGGGTGTGGCCACAGCAGGAAGAGAGGAGGCGGGGTACGGGCCCTCTTCCCGCGTCCTGGCCGCCCCCAGAAGTGCCCTATCCTGGAAGCATGAGATGTTAGCCAATTACCTAGATCCCAGGGCTCCCGCCCCTCCTGCCCCAGGGGCTGGGGCTCTACTCTACAAACTGTTTGCACATGGCCGGGGAGGGACTGGGACTCTAGCGTCCTGTGTCTGAGCCTTATGGAGCACAGGGCGGCGCCACCCTTGGGTGTGCCCTGCTCCATCGAGACGGACGGCAGACCCCATGTTTTTTAAATTATGTTTCTTTGATTTCTGTTCATTTAGCTTTAGGGCTTCTCTTGTTTGTTTTTAAAGAGAAACGTTTATAACTGGATAGCATTGCAGTGAAAGCAGCTTGGGGTGTTGGCACTAACGCCAGCCGTTCATACTGCTCTTTCCAGACAGCCTCCCTGTATCTATCGATCGGCACGAGGGAACACACGAGCCTTTAACATGGAAAAGATCAAAAAGGTCCAAAACCCGGTGCGATCCGCCAGCCTTTGCAAGGCAGGTTGGTGGCCAAAGACTGACCCGTAAGTGGCTTTACGGACGCTGAGATGGAGAAGGCCTGAGTGTAGCAACCACCTGCTCACAGCTGCTATTAACCCCAGAAGGACTGAACCCTCCACTCTATTTTTGTGTTGTTTTTGCACAGACTCCGGAAAAGTGAAGGCTGCCAATCCGAGTAGTACTCAGATGTGAGGAACTGCTGGTCTTGGATTTTTTTTCCATTAAATTCAGCTGATCATATTGATCAGTAGATAAACGTAAATAGCTTCCAATTTTAAAAGTCGAATTGCAGTGTTTTTTCACTGTATCAAAGCAATGTCAGTGCTTTATTTAATGATTCTCTCCTGTATCATGGCATTTGTCTACTTGCTTATATATTACATTGTCAATGATGCATTTGTAATTTTACATGTAAGATGCATTATTTGCCAGTTTTCTTCTCTAGGCTATGGACCTCATGTGCATATAGAAAGACAGAACTCTCGCTCTACACAAGTTGCACAAATGTTATCTAAGCATTAAGTCACCGTAGAACATAGGACTGTAACCTCAGTTCGCTCTGTGATGTCAAGTGCAGAATGTACAATTAACTGGTGATTTCCTCATACTTTTGATACTACTTGTACCTGTATGTCTTTTAGAAAGACATTGGTGGAGTCTGTATCCCTTTTGTATTTTTAATACAATAATTGTACATATTGGTTATATTTTTGTTGAAAATGGTAGAAATGTACTATGTTTATGCTTCTACATCCAGTTTGTACAAGCTGGAAAATAAATAAATATAACATAACACCTTGTCTATATTCTTAATGACTTGTGCATGCTTTTTCTAACTGAAACGTGAGAAACCCTTTGAGTCTCACTGTAGGAGCAGGTCCTCAGGGCATTGAGGAGGTACAGATGACATCGCCTAAGAGAGAAGAAAGTAATATCATTCATGTTAATAGAAAATAAGATCATTCATGTGTCCAGAATTCATAGTGTTTAATGAAATTCAGTGAAAAATGATATGACATCATTGTATATCTACATAGCATTTATCTCTTCCCAGTTCTTTTCCAGTAAAAATCTTTGCAGGACATAATGTTTTGATTCCCAATATATATACTAAGAAATAGGACCTCAGAGAATTTAAACTGGCATTCAAGATTATGGCCAGTAAGTTTAGTACAACCTAGCGAGTAATTTGGAAGTTCTAACCAGTACATCAGGGCTTCCTTGGTGGCTCAGTGGTAAAGAATGTGCCTGCCAATGCAGGAGACATGGTTTGATCCCTGGATCAGGGAGATAACCCTGGAGAAGGAAATGGCAACCCACTCTAGTATTCTTGCCTGGGAAATCCCATGGACAGAGGAGCCTGGAGAGCAGTCAGTGGGATCACAAGAGAGTTGGACACAACTTGGAAACTAAACAACAATATCAACAAAGAGTATATCAAATATCTTTGTTCTGTCTGTGAGTCCTAATGTAAGGTAGGTCTGAATAATATTTAAGTCTATGAGAAGGGTACTTATATTTAAAAAGGTGAGAGTCAGTTAAGCAGGAAGTCTTGAGCACATTTTGAAATCAAAGACTGTTTCTTATCCTCAAGTAGGTGGCAATAAAAGTCCTGCCCAGGAAGCTGCAGGAGGTTGAATGCAGGGCCATGGAAGCACATTTTGGAAACATGAGGAAATGTGAGGGTGTCTAGAAAGATTGCAGAACCTCAGTCCTGATGCTAAAGGGAACATGGCCAGACTTAAAAGTCTGACAGGCATTTGTGCAGTCTTGGTGAGTAAAGTTTGAAAATCTGGCCACCACAACAATTTGGAGAATTAAGACCATTCCTGTAGCTTCTGCTGTACCTGTTCAGGATGCAGGTGCCCTGTGTGGACACCTGTGTTCTCGTGTGTGCGCCACCATCAGCTGTTCACTGTAAAACCCTTTGCTCAGGGACACCCTTTCACAACAGCAACCCGTGCTGTCAATTTCTGTCATTCAAAAAGCTTACTTTTCTCTAATGTGTTCAGAAAAATATTAAGGAGCTGATGTTTTGAAGAATAACCTCTTAATCACTTTTTGTATTCTGCTGAAAATAAAGGAAAATGATAGTCGGCCATGATGCCTGTTCTTACATGTTTATGTTTTAGATTACCTTTAAGTAGCAAAGACTCCACTCACCTCCACTCCAGGGTTGTAAGAAGTATGTGATCAGTGGCTGTGACATAGCTTCCTTGGTGTTGTATTAATAACAGAACTTTGCCATGTTTTAGGAATTTTGCAGAAAGCTCTCCTCTCTAATCTGTTTTCATACCCGCAGTTCAGTTCAGTTCAGTTCAGTCGCTCAGTCGTGTCCGACTCTTTGCGACCCCGTGAATCGCAGCACGCCAGGCCTCCCTGTCAATCACAAACTCCCGGAGTTGACTCAAACTCATGCCCATCGAGTCGGTGATGCCATCCAGCATCAAAACCCTCCAAATAGTTCCCTCAGCTTTAACCCTTTCTTTCTGGCAGGTGTAGAGTTTATGCTCATCTATACTTTAATATATTTGATCTCCAAGTCACTGACAATCCCTCAAAATGGTCTTGAAAGATGAAAGCTGCTGAACAAGCATGTATCAGCACCTCTGGTAGGTCTGTGTGCTTACGGATTTTCAAGGAATCATCACACTTCCATTCTTGCCAAAGAAAAAGAGGAGCTCTCTGTCCTTGATTCCCTGATGCTGTCTCCTTGAAAAAGAGCTTACTCAAAGGATAAAGCAAGTGCACACTGAAGGGTCAAGTTGTTGATTGGAGAGGCGAATGATCTTGCAAATATTCACAAAGAATGTCAGGCAGCGGAGGTTGAAGTGGGCAGTAATGGAATGGAAATGAGTAGGACAGACTGCAGCCAAGGGGGCAGGACCCTTCAGAAAGATCTTACAGTGAATGAGGGTTTGCCTAGTTGACAGACAAAAAACACTGATTGGAACAAAATAGTAATTTATGAATTGCACTTTTTTCAACATTCACATTTCAGCCAAAGACAAAGCAAGCACAGTAAAATTCCTGCCTGTTTTTGAAATCATGTTTTCTGGCCAGTTAGTTTTTACAATGGCTACATAACAGGAACGTTTATAGAAACTATCAAAACATTGCATGCAAGGCTAAAAAATCTTAGAAAAGGCTTTGTTTTATGGGCTCTCAATAAGATCATAATACTTTTCATTATGGGAAAATTTAAGCATAGAATATAATATCTGAAGTAAATTTTTTAAAAATCTGAAGTAAATTTAGAATCAAATGGCCAATTTTTACAGAAGAGAGAAACTAGTGAAGTAATTTCCATGTGGGGTATTCAACACTTCAAAAGTCAAAGCTAGTTTCATTTTCTTTTTCTGTAGCTAGTTTAATACAATTTAGGAACTTTTAGTATTAACTCTGACCATAGTTGACATGTGGTGTAGTCTGATGGGAACCAATGCAGTAAAGGCATATCCCTGGATTTGAAGTTTTCTTTAATTTATATAGATTGGAAACCTTTTTTCAAGCAAAATTATAAAATTGATTTAGGGGGACTTCCCTGGTGGTCCAGTGGATAAGACTCCTTGCTCCCAATGTAGGGGGCCCCAGTTCGATCCCTGGTTGGGGAACTAAGATTCCCCTGCTGCAACTAAGCCCACGAGCTCTAGAGTTGGCACTCGCCACTAGAGAAACCCTTGAGCTGCAAAGACCCATCACAGCCAAAATGAATAATAAAAAATATTTAAAAATTGATCCAAGTCAGTGTCACTTAACATGAAGGTGAAATATGCACAAGCCTATCAGATGTA